TTCACAGAAATCTTGGGCTTATTGTGTTCTGAGCCCCCAGAATGTCATGGGATTCCAAACCAAAGTTAATGTCAGAGTTAAGTTTATGTTAACTTCCTCCCCTTGAAAGGAAGTGTCAGCGATTCACAGTTTATCCTTTTTGACTTTCTGAAGAGCCTTCTGCACTGTCCAATAATGTAGAGTGTGTATTTGAGGAGAAATGACATTAATAGAGATTGAGAAGAGAATGATTGTCTAAAAATTAGAGAAGTGTGGTTTTGCTGGTGGGTCAGTGAAGTTTAAAGCAGTCAGGTCGAGCACTTATTCTGGAACCTGTGAGCTGTTCCTCTCTCTTCAAGATATTGGATGTGGGTGTAAATATATATATTAAGTCCCAGATTAGATTTCAGAGCTAGAGTATAACCAGGGTTTGGTTGGAGTGGGCAGCTAATTTACTGTTAGGCAGCTGCTATGGGGTTAAGGAGGGTCCCAATTACCTTGAAGACTGCAAAATTCCAAAGTTAGGTTTTGAAGGCTAAATAGAGATAAGGAAACATTTGTGATTAAGCACCCACATCCCTCTGGACATGGCTTACGTGTGTGTGTGGGGGGGTGTCTGTGCAGGCTGAACCCCCTAGTGCATAGAAGCTGGAACATGTATAAGAGGGGAACCGAGGAACCTATGCCAGACCCTGAATTCATTTTTACAGGCAAACTCAATTCCGCCCGTAATATAGCCCACACCATCCTTATAAGGACCGGCTTTCCTTTCCCAATAAACAACCCTTATTTAGTTATTGGAGCCTCTTTCAGCTGGAAACATGAATGTAATTTTTACTTTTTAGCAATTATGTGTCATCAGGACTTATCTCAGAATTACAGGGCCATGAGTTGGGAGGCATGGCGGGACTGTTAATTGTCTGGAGGCACTCGTACTAACTCTGGCTACTGCACATCTTGTTCCTCTGGTGGAATGTCTGTGTTGGTGCCGTAGTGCTTTGACCAAGTAGGGTAGATCCGACGGCCTGCGTGCTGGAATGGCAGCTCGACCTGACCGCTCGTGCCCACCCAGGCAGTGACGCTAGACTCCTGTAGCCGCCGGGGTAGCGCCCCACTTGCCTCGGTTTGGCTTTGCCACTAGATTCCTCCGTTCTTCGTTTTGGCTTTTACCCAAAGGTGGCTGCTTCCTTTGGAGGGGATGTTGGGAGACATTCCAAAGATGTTCCATCATATTCTCAATTTACAGCTCAGTTTTAAAATAAATATTAAGTGTCAGAGGTTTCTTATGTAACATAAACTCTCGTGGTCTACATGACTGTAATCCCTGGGCTCTCTGCTGGGACTGCATCACCCCTCGCTAGGCTTTCTCCAGCTCAGCTGCTGCTACCTCCTTGCTGCCCTGGCTCTGAGCACTTCAGGTTGTAGAGACAGCAACGTTCATTGAGCCAGGCTGGATTCTGACTGGATGGTCTCTACAGGAGAGAGGCATGAAGACTCTCTTTGATTGACCTTGGGACTTCTCCTCCCCACCCCCAGCACTACTTCATCTTACCCTGGTCTAGATAGAGTCTTGGGTTACAGCTGACCAGAAACCACTACTGATTAACTCACACTGGAAGGGGATTTACTGGCAAGATCAGGGGTAATTCAGAGTTTGTGGGAGGCCGGAGAACTGCCTGTTGAACAGAGGCAGGAATTTAAGGAGGCTGAGTTGGCCAGTATCAGAGCCAAAAACCAGGCCCTGGAATAGTGACATAGGACGTCACTGTTGTTGCCATGAGTGGATACTGGGTACGGTCCTTGGCACAGCTGCCACTGGTGCTCTTGCTGCAGTTTTTTGTTTTTTTTTTTTTAAATTTTAACTTGCCCCTTGCTGTTTTGAGTCACCTGCTTCAGATGCAGTCATCAGACAAGCCTGTAACAGAACCTGCTTCTCTGAATGTCTTTGTGTGTGGAGCTGATACTCACCATGCAGTCATTGTCACTTCCTACTAGTTCTTAAAATGTTGAAATAGTTTCCTACACCATGGGCTCATGCTTTCACCTTTTTCACATCCCAGCACTGAATGGTTCACGCCTGACACAGGAAGGGGCCTCCCGAGGGTGCTACAACTGGTCTGGAGGTGGCAAAGTGATACTTAACCATGCGGGATATTAGCCCTGGCCGTGTGTGCTTTGGATGGGTTTGTAAGTTAGATGTGCCACCCGCTGGTGGCGCAGCAGGTTAAAGCACAGCACTAAGTAGCTTAAGCCGCTTCCGATGACTTCGATCACCGCCTGCCCCGGAAGTGACCACATGGCGCGGCAGACCTCTCCTGACCCGCCCGCTGCTCCCCTCAGCAGTGTACTTTGTCGATCTCCCTGTTCTGCTCCCCACTCTGTCCCTGGTGAATCCTCTCAACTCTGCATCTCTGGCCTGTACCCCAGTTCTGTATAAATAAATAAATAAATCTTTAAAAAACCATTTATTTAAAAAGTTTCTATACTGAAATATGAAATATGCAAGACTATCAATATTTGGCAGTGTTTGCTTATGCTATTTGATTCATAAAACATCTCCCTCATCTCTTTCCCAGCCCAAGAATGCTGTGTGCTGTGTACTTACTTTCAGTTAATCTGAACTATGTAGAAGGGACTTGGTAAATAAATTGTGGAGCTATTAAAATGGAGGTGATGACTTTAGAAATCAGAAAAATTTGTGAAATACTTAATTTAGTAATTAAAACATAAAACTGTCCAGACGTGTATAACTATGTAAATGCTATTTATGTGTTTGGATAATATTTAAAAGGAATAAAAAAATGCTTTCTGTTTATATAGATTCCTGATGAATAAAATAACATTTCTTCAATTGGACTTTAATTTTAAAAACCTCACTCGCCATAATAAAGTTATTTTAAAAATAAAACCATTAGAATGATACCATACAGCCCCCTTGACCCTGGGAGGTAAAGTGGGAGACATCATTAAACCAGGATTGGAAACCACTGCGCCATACAGAACACAGCAGGCTGTGTTTGACTGAGAGAACAAATGTTTCCCCAGCTTAGACAACAGTGACAGGGGGCTATTGAAAGTCTTGCATAGTCTCGGGTGCATTTCACGGTGACAGAGGCAAAATTACTGCTGATTTGGGCTACAGAGAAGGATTTAGAGTGATCTTCTTTTTGTCCCCAGCATTCTGCTCAATCAATTTCAAGGACAGTGAGCAACATAGCAGTCCAGAAGGAAGCCAGTGCCTGGGAAGCTAAAGCACGTCTCCTCTTGAAGACCCTCTCCTCTTGCAGACCCCCACACCCGACCTTGACCTTCTTATTACAGATTCATGAGCCAGGGAGATGATTTCCTCCTCCTCTTTGCTTCTCATACTTTAAAGTACATAGGGACCAGCTGGGGATGTTGTTAAAATGCAGATTCTGATTCACGTGTATATAGAGTTGTGTCTGAGTTTTTGCATGTTTAATAGGCTCCCAGTTGATGCAGTGCTGCGAGTCTGCAGACCACACTTTAACATGGCAAGGTTCTGCATACCCCAGAGAGTTGAGTTGCTTTTCAGGTTATGTGACCTTCAGATCTGTTCAACTAGACCTTCCTATTCAAAATATTTGCAGAACCTGTATTTTGAAAACTGCAAAACACTGCTGAGAGAAATTAAAGAAGCCCTCTATCAAGGGAGAATTTATTCATTTTCATAAATTGAAAGACTTACCATTGTCAAAACAGTTATTTCCTCCAGCTTCATCTCTAGCTTTAACCATCCCAATAAAAATTGCAATAGACTTTCATTTTAATGGTAGAAATAGATGAGTACTCTAAATTTTATATGAAAATACAAAGACCTAGAATAGTCAAATTATTTTTGAAAAAGAATGAAGCCTGGAAGATTCACATGGCCTATTTCAAAACTTATAAAGTTACAGCAATAAAGACAATGAGTTATTAGGTAAAAACAGATCAGTGGAAAAGGACTGAATCCACAGACAGACTCACACGACAGGCCAACTGCTATTCAGAAGTGTTTGCTGGAGGAGAGGAGCCAGGCATAAAAAGCCCCATATACTGTGATGTCGCTTACATAAAATCCTATAAAATGGAAAGCTATAGTGTTAGGTCAGTGGTTATTGGGGATTTGGGATGGATGGAACCCCACCAAACGGGAGGTTATTCATCTGGATACTGGCGGCCACTAGATGGAATACGTCCCCACCTCCAGGCTCTCGATTCCTGCACCAGCTCTCCCACAGAGGGAGGCAAGCTATCCCCCAGTCTGCGGTGCCACATCTCCATAACACAGTATCAGTGCTAACTTCCTAGGGCAGTTGTGAGGGTCAAATATACTAACACATGGGTAGCATTTAAAACATTTCTTCGTGTATAATAAACTACATGTCAGTGATAATGATCATCCTCTTATAATCACTTTGTGTTGTGATTTTACCTTTCTCCCAAAATTGGGTTCTCTCCTGCATCCTCTCCTTAACCCTCATGCACTCATGTAGCTTGAGGTTTACAGAGCTGGAAGAGGTCTCAGCTAACATCTAAGCTAACTATGCCATAACTGAGACCAAGGAGACTGAGTGATGTGCCCAAGGTCACCCTAGTACTGGCCCCGCAGAACCAGCCACCTGGCCAAGCCACTCCTGGTTTGCCTTTTCATCCGGGGTTGTCCAGTGTTTACATTTTTTTTTTTAAAGATTTATTTATTCATACAGAACTGGGGTACAGGCCAGAGATGCGGAGGGTGAGAGGCTTCACCAGAGACAGAGTGGGGAGCAGAACAGGCAGATCGACGAAGTACACTGCTGAGGGGAGCAGCGGGCGGGTCAGGAGAGGTCTGCCGCGCCATGTGGTCACCTCCGGGGCAGGCGGGGATCGAACTCATGCGAAAGTGGCTTTAGCTTCTCAGTGCTGTGCTTTAACCCGCTGCGCCACAAGGGAGGGCCAGTGTTTACATTTTTAATGTGAATCAGGGACTTGCCACTCATCACTTCAATTGTGTTTCCCCCTTTGTGTTTCCACAGAGAATTCAGAGCCCCAGCTACAGAAGACTCGCCCTGTCACACCATGAGCTCTGGTAAGTCATTTTAAGCCCTGTCTTTCTCTTGACAAATCTATAAAACCAAGCAGCTTTACCCACATTTCCCATGCATGGCGAAAGCCCAATCTGTGGCCTGCACTTTACATGTCTCACATCCCACTCTTTATAACAAGCCCTCTTGCTCTCCATTTCTTAAAAATTTATCAAGATACAATTGGCATATACTAAACTGCAGATATTTTAAACATATAGCTCAATTAATTTTGACTTATGTGTACACTTCAGGGGTATTTTTTAATCCTGTGACTGCAGCAAAAATAAACAGATCTACCATAACTGCCCCTGGGTGGAACTGATCCATCACTTCCATCATCCAGGCTGGGAGAGCAAAACTGCACACCCTTTCACCATGCCTTTGGTAGTCAAGAGCAAGAACTAAATAGATGACTGATTTTGAGTGTTCTCAGTTTATAGTGGGGGAAGCTGCTCATTGTAGAGCCAAGAGATGTCAGCTTTCCTACCCAGAATTCCAGACAGAGAAGCTTCCACCTGGAGTTTTAGGCCAAACTGGTCACTGAGCATGCTCGGAGCCCCCCAAGACCTGCAGAGACAGCGTGGGGGGAGGGGGTGCCCTGTGGACAGCTCACTCATGTCTCCAAAGTGATGCTACAAGACCTCTGCGGTGACAGACCTTTCCGTGGTCAGAGAAGCGCCCTTTCAGCCCCTCCCTATCCGGGGCTGCAGAGTGTGTGCTCAGGATGGAGGAAGCTTCCCTGGGGCAGCTCAGGCCACACCCCGGCTTCCTCCCCACCAACTGTGTGCGGGACCCTGGGCCTTCTCTGCATTTCCTCTGAAAGCACCAGTTCATGGGGATTTTGCACTGTAAGGATTCAGTGAGGCTCTAAGGTACCAAGGAGGACAGTGTCCATGGCGTGGACAGTGTCCCATCCTGGCTTGTCAGTTCAGGTTCCTTTTGGCAACGAGGGACTTGGCTGTCGCTGTTCCTTGTGTGGTGCAGTGTCCCTGCCAGTCACCCCTGCTTAGTGACTCTTTTTTTCCTTCTGTTTGGCTTTTTGTATTAAGAGTCCAAGTTTTTTACCCCCTCTTTTCAACTTTTGCCCTTTACCCTAAAATTTCTCCTTCTAATATCAGCATAAGCCTGAACTGGCCTTGCCACTCAGCCATTAGTAAGAGAGGAAGGGAGGGACTCTGCAGGGGCACGAGGTGTGGAAGCACTGGCGGGACTGCTCCCTTGGCTCTTGGGTGTGGTGATGGAAGGAGGCATTTCGTAGGAAGAGTCCAAAAATCCTGGGCCTTTTGAGCTGAAAATCCCCCTTTTGGGATTTATATCTTAATTTGAAGGAAATAAAAGTATCACCCCCATGAAGGTGGGGACTGAATCATTTCAGTATGTGTATTCACTTGATAGAACATTATGCAACTGTTAAAATGGATTATTTGGAAGAAAACAGCTGCATAGAAATCATTTGTGGCAAAAGCAGCATGAAAACGCTGCACCCTTTTATTCCTGGTTTGTACTGGGTTGCCCGTGCCTGAGGAAGTGTTTTGTCTGCATTAACTCTGGACATTCTCCTGGCAAGCCCACTAAGGTGGACATGGTTTCCCACTGCCATTCTGTATGTGGGGAAACTGAGGCCCTATGGATGTGAGATCTCCTGGCTAGTGTATCTCAGAGCTAAGCTGACCCAGGCTGGACACCAAAACTGTTGCAGAGGTTGGAATTCCAGGTGATGCAATTATTTTCAAGATTTCTTCAAGCTCCATTGTTATGTTTAATGAAAAGAAGTATAAGGAAGCATAGCATGGCACTGGACCACATGTCTAGACTCCCTGGGCCAGGGGGAGGAGGCCAAAGCAAGGCCCCAGGCCTGTCAGAGAAGTGAGGCTGTAGAGGACTCCGGCGCATGGGGAAGGGAAAGTTGAACACAGAGCAAATGGGCTGACGAAATTCATGTTTCTTTCACTTGGATTTCTGGCCTTCGTGCCAACACCCTCCTCCCACCCGCTCCAGAGATGTAGGTACAAGGGAGAACTTGGCATGGGGAAATTAGTCTTCATCTGTGGACTGGGGCAGTGAGCAGGACAGAGCTGGAGCGGCCAGTGCCAGAGCACAGCTCCGTGTGTGTGCAGTGTTCAGGCTGGCCTGTCTGTGGTGTGTTAGGCCACTCGTCTTTGGGAGGCTGATTAAGAGCCAGATTAGGGTGACCCTGTGTCATCCAGATGAATGACTGGGCGTGGAATGGGCTTTACTCTCAGCATTTGGAGAAACCGAAGACAGGCATAAAGCACGAACCCAAAATGTTTATCCCTGTTGGGGGCAAAGAGGAGCGGTAGGTAGGGCAGACCAGACTTAAGAGCCCAGCTGAGTGATCTTGGGTGCCTGGCAGCCTCTCTGAGGCCTCAAGTTTCTGATCTATAAAGCAGGAGCTCCTAACTCCTAGTGCCAAGACTTAAGGATGAGATGAGCTGTTGTTTAGGGTCATCTTAGTATAGATCTTGAGTCCGAGCAAAGAGATGCATGGAAAACCATAGCTGTTAGGATTTCACTGGCGGCTCGCTGGTTTTTGGCTGTTGGGGATCACTGCAGGCGCTCAGCCCTGTGTCCCAGGCTGGTAGGGCCTGCTGCCAGCCGCCTTGTCTTCTCTGGCCCTCATCTTTGGTTTTGAGATGGAGAATTAAAACTATATTCCATGCAATCATTTGTACATTTTCTGGGGACTTGAAATACAATTTTCCCTCTGGGAATTGGTAATATAAATGATTGGACTCCCAGAGTAAACCCAGTATTTGTTTTCAGAAGAGGGAAAACAGTGTATTTAAAGCAGATGAGTTTCAGAAAATCACACTGCATTGTTCCGTTTTGTTTTCATCGGTCTTTCAGCCCGGGACTTCTTAACTCAGCGAAGGCTGGGTCAGCTCAAGGTCTACAAAGTGTTCTCAGGATGCAGACGAAGGGCTGGGGTGGGGAGGGACAAAAGGGAGACAGGGAGGGGGCCAGGAAGCCCTGTCCTCCATGGGCCACAGCACAGGAGCCTCAGCTGGGGCAGAGGCCATTGAGGGGGTGCAGCCTCTCGAGGCACTTCAGGGGGGGAGGCACATCTTTGATGACGGAGTGTAGAGGGTGCTGTCAAGGAGCCTGTGGTCTGCGTCCTGTTACCCCCTTCCGGAGGCTTTCAAGATGGTACTGAAAGTCTGGATAGGCCTTGGTCAGGCGATGGGCGCCATTTTGAGGGAATTAAAAATACTCTTTTAAATGTCAGAAAGGAAGCCATAGCAAAGAAGCCAGGGGATTTACATCCCCCAACACCTTGTCCCCAGGTAGCTTTTGCATCCTCTGGTCCAAACCGCACAGTGTTCTCAGACCTCTCCCCAGTGCCACAGCATCCCATCCGGGCCTGAGAAAACCTGCATGTCACCAGCACTCCCTGCCAGGTGGGGCCCTGTGGATGTCTGCCAGACGTGTCACCTGCCCGTGCTCTTTCTCTTTCTTTCAGAATGTGATGTTGGTGCCTCTAAAGCCGTGGTGAATGGGTTGGCACCAGGCAGCAATGGGCAAGACAAAGGTAAGCCTCTTCAGGGGAAGCCCAGCCTGGTACAGGACTGAGAGTCTAGAGGTGCAGCACAGGTCGAGCCTGGACCTCCCGCCTCATAGGGACAGTCACGCATCTACTTCCCGTGCTGATTTCCTGAGACCCTCAGCTCTTCCTTGCATCTCCTGAGGTGAGGCTGCCATTTCCCACTGTGACGTGACATAGTAAAGATGGCCCCTAGCTTACCAGACGCTGTGAAGAGCAGACAGGCACCGGCCTAGGTGTGCCTCACCCCGGCGCCCGAGGCCTACTGGCCCGCATCTCCCTGAGCCTGTGTCTCGCCTTCACGGTCATGGTGACACGTTCACACCATCCCGACCCGGAGGCAAGAGTGGAAACTGCCAGAAGAAGTTACCTTGGCAGCGTTAGCTTCATGCACACCCTCTCCTATTTCCACTCTTAAAAGATGTTAGGACCAAAGTGGAGGTGTGAAATGTCTCCTCCTGACCCTCGCCACGTGGCGCCCAAGCGGCCAGCAGCAGCGTCGCCTCTGCTGTGTGGTGAGGGTGGGGGCGCGCAGGGGGAGGGGTGCATCCCATTCCACGCTCACAGTGCTCTCGGGGGTCCTTGTCTTCTAGGTGTCTGCAAAATGAGGGAGTTTGGTCCTCTGCTGTGTTTATTCCTGAGTCATTCAGAGTTTGGGTCCCGGGTTCTAGCAGTGATCAGCCAACTAGACTCTCTGGTGTCAGAAGGGAAGGGCGAAGTCCTGTCGTCAGACACGCCAGAATGCCGCAGCTGTGAAGAATGGTTTCAGAGTTTGCTGTGTTTGTTGTTATTTTGATCCTTTTCTGCCAGTCTTCCCGTTAAAACAGGAGAAATGGAAGTGGGAAGAAGAGCCACAGCGAGAAGGCAGCGTCGGAGGCCGAGGCTGGGGGCTGTTTGGGACGCGGCGCCATCTGGGCAGGAGGTGGCCCTTGCTGTCCTCTCCTTGCCTGCTTGCTCTCCCGCCTGGCACCCTCACGGTGCCGGCTGTGCTCTCTGGGCACGGGCAATCTCTGCCAAGTTGCTCTGCGGGCATGCCGGAGGCTTTGCCTAAGGAGTATTTGAGCATTGCTGAGCCAGGGTGCCTCCAGCCGCACCCTGTGACTTCATGGAGAGAGGAGATTGCAGGGCTCTTTGGGGAGGGTGCATTCTCCCTGGGAGGTCAGCAGGCTGGCCTGGGGAGGTCACTGAACCAGGTGCCGGGACAGCTGAGCCCCTCCACAGCCTCTTCACTTGAGAGCAAGATGACTCTGAACTGTTCGCTGAGCCTTCTCTGAAAAGGGTCACAACCCCCCCCCCCCCACCAGCCTCCTGGGTGGTTCTCAGGGCCATCTGTGGGTGGCTCCCTGCACCGCAGTGCTTGAGGTTGGCGCCGGAACACATGAGCTGCCCTCTCTTTGTTTGCTGCCACTAGAGGGCCAAGGGGAGGCCTCACAAACAGGCTTGTGAGAAGGAGGATATGCCCACCATGGAGATGCCAGAATGTGGGGGTGCAGGCTCCTGGGAGACCTGCACCAAGGCTCAGGACAGCAGCCTGCACCACACCTGTGTGGGCCCGTCCCTCAGCTGGGGGTCTGCGTCCTGGCCCTTGCGCTTCGTGCTGCCCACGTCTTGAGTGTGCACTCAAACACTTGGCAAACTCTCACCCTGGAAAGGGTGGGCTTAAGCAAGACCATCTGCTGCCCAACAGATGGGGTTCTGATTTGCTTGGGGGCTAGAGGGCTGTGATAGTCAGAGCAGGCACAGGAACCCACAAGTTAGGATTCTGGGGAAGCAGGTGTGATGAGTGAAAGAGCAAGCCCCTCGCAAACTTGTTCCTTCCACCCACCACCCACCGGGGCCGATGAGCCCTACTACTTCTCCTCGGCATCCTCGCCCATACAGACACCCCAGTGTTCCCCCGGGGGCCCCTTGGGCCCTGACTGCTCTCCCCTGCATTTGCCAGGCCATCTGCATCCCTGTAACTGTCTTTGTCCGGAGCCTTGGCAAGTTCCTGGTGTGTGTGGCAGGAGGCGCAGACCCGCTGACCTACTGCATTTGGCGACGGTGGGAGGGAGCTGTGCCGTGCTGGCACGGAGCTCTGGGAGAGAAAGCAGGGTGTTTAACCACAGCATCTGCTGCTCTTCGTGTTGTTCTTGTCATGTGGGTGACTTCCTGCTATTGTCCTCCCCAGTTCCTCAACTGCCTGAGTGTTTCCCAAATGTTTTCTGGGTGTTCCATTTACCCTTTTGTGTTTTCAGCAACTGCCGACCCTTTACGTGCACGCTCTATTTCTGCTGTTAAAATAATTCCTGTGAAGACACTGAAAAACTCCTCAGGCCTAGTACTCCCTCCAGGTATCTCTCCTTGGGTTGGGTTCTTTTTCTGATTGCTAGAGATCATGCATGGTTTCCTTTTGTCTTTGCTTCTAACAAAGACTAGGAGGCTTAACCCTTGCATGTCTAGGAGCCCTTGCCCCCCACTTCCTCAGCCAGCCTCCTCTCTGCCTGTCTGTGTGAGAACGTGTGTATGTCTTTCCTGTGCACCGCAAGCGTGGGGCACTGGGGGCCGAAGCCGTGCCCTCCCCCCCCAGGTCAGCCCAGAGGCTGAATGTGGCTCTGACGGGTTTGAGCCACATGGGTTTCTTACCCTCTCCCAGTACTTTATTTACAACTCTGGTCTCCCCGAGAATTGATGGGCTTGCACAAAGGAACCTCTGAATTGGATTGAACTTGAAGCACTGTCTTAGATCCTAAACCTAGTCTTGCCTTAGATGTTCCCTGTGCAATTCCCAGGGCCCGCCCTGCCGTCACCTCAGCTGTGACTCCTCCTGGGAGGAGTGCCATCCCAGTGTCGGCTACAGCTCATCACGTCCTTGGATACAAAGCAGGATGGAGAGACCAGGTGGCTCTCTTTCCAGGGGTGCTCTCAGGAGTGGGGCAGACCTGCATCGGAAACCTGTGGAGGGCTGGGTCTGTCAGTGTGCCCCTCACCCACTGAAAAGACCACATATCGTTTCCCAATAGCTCTGTGATGTCAGTCACTTCTCCCCTTGATACAGATGAATAAGAAAAATGCTCCCCAAGGCCCCGGGGTGCTCTGTCGCATTTTGTGTTTGTGCGAGCCCCTTCCAGTGGAAGAGATGCGGATGGGGCAGATGTGTTCTCCGAACACTGACAATTCTCCCAGAGTGGTCTGAAGGAGCTTGCGGAGGGAAAGGAAGAGCAAGGAGAGGAGGGTTTGCTCGCCTCTGTCCTGACCCAGGAACTGGCATGAGTCGGACATCTGAATCCCGGTCCTGCCTGGTGCTCTCACATAATCCCAGACTCGACAATTTTAGGTCAGAGATCCAGGCTGTACTGTGAGCAATTAAAATACCGAACCATGGGATTCGGCTCGGCTCAGCTGCACAGAAAGAATCATGCAGCGCAAGTGCCTTCTGAGTGGAGCATCTGAGAGTCCCCCAACACCCCCATACCGGTTTTCCTGGAGAATGGGCATCAGATCTTTGAAGACTATTTTGAAATCCTTCGCAGTAGAATTCTGAAAGATGACCTGGGTCTGTTATTAGGCCGTTGTGAACTGTAAGAGAGGTCAGGACCATGTGAAGGCTCAGTTGAGGTGCTGAAAACCCTTTTCATTGCAGGATGTAGCATTCTAGTCGTTTTCTTTGGTGTGAATTCTCTTCATTAAGGTTGGAATGCAAGGCTGTCACCCATGATCTTTCCCCCTAGGCAGCATATCCCGGCTCATCATTCAGGGTCTTGACTGGCTCATGCAAGCTTTTCCCGTCCTCTTCTGTTGGAGAGCTGCGTGCGAGGAGCAGAGCTCCCCAACCCCACACTGCCACCTCACTCCTGTCTGAGAAGACTGGTCTGGGAGCTTGAGAACTCTTTCGTGAACTCTGTCTTAAACTCTGCCTTACTAATTGGCCAGAAGTATGCTCTCCAACCTAAACTTCATTTAATGAGTGGAATCAACCTGCCTTCACTCTGAAATGTTTTCAGCTGATCCTGTAACACATCATTCGACTCCGAGCTCACTGCGCTTCCATTGCCCCTAACCTCATGAGTGCAGTAAGCCCTGGAGGCGGCGTTGTCTCTGCAGTACCTGCAAATCTGCAAATTTTCATTGACCACCAGACTATTGCCAGAGTCATGTCATTCCTCAGCTGTAGCAAGTTGCTGGCTGACTATTGCTTTAGTCCTTCAGGAACCTCGAATTCAGCTTTCCCTTTTGGATTTTTTTCTTTTCAGACATGGATCCTACAAAAATCTGCACTGGCAAGGGAGCCGTGACCCTGCGGGCCTCGCCCTCCTACCGGGAAATCCCAAGCAGTAGTCCTGTGAGCCCTCAAGAAACTCCGCAGCACGAAAGCAAACCAGGTACCCTACCTGCAGCTGGGGAGGCATTCAGGGTCATGGCAGAAGAGCAGGAAACTCCAGTGCTTTTGCTCAGATAGTTGTAAGTTCATTAGCTGCCTCCTGATTAACCCAGGGGCCCTGGGGCAGTTGCTGGTTAGTGTCCTGAACGGGCAGACACACACTTGTACCCGCACAGACACAGCGGCACTGCCACTGATTTCAGTGTTTGAACAGATGAGCAGAGACCCCATTACTGACTCAGAGGGTCTCTGCAGGCTGTGTAGGCAGAGATGGCTCAGGGACACTGGGAGTGAGAGGTGAGAGGGGCTAGAGGCTGGGAACCTCTGGGCAGGGCTTGGACGGGGGAAGCAAAGAAGGAGGCAGTCAAGTGCAGGTGGCTCACCCAGCTCCCAGGAAAGCACAGTGGGGCAGGACTCTGGCCTGGGGGGCTGCTCGGCAGCGGGAGAGCAGGGTCAGGATAGCTGTTGCAGATGAGCCCGGGACACGAAGGAGAGCAGCTGAAGCCCACCTTCTCATCGTGGGCCACGGCTCAGGGAAGCCTGGCCCCAGCCCTCAAGCAGTGGGGCCCGTACAGCCGCCTCACGCCCTTCCGCCGCCACCAATTGGCTGTGCGGTGAGGATGAGCTACCAGCTGCGGGTCCCCACCGCAGAGGGCTGGTAGCATTACCATGAGGGCGAATTTTGCAGGGTCTGGACCGTGCCCGGTGGCGTGGGTGAGCTGCTCGATGTTAGCTGCTGCCAGCAGGTTGTGACCATGAGTCTTTGAATCTCGGGAGAGGCCTCTCCGTGGCCCAGGTGTTCTCGCCTTTGGAGGTTCCACGGGCGGTTGTCCTGGGCGGTGACCTCGCCCCTCGCAAAGCAGTAGCTGTTTCTCTCATTGTGTCAGAAGCTCCTGGAGTAAAAGGGCCACTGTGTCCCAGACCATGGGGTCAGAATTTGATTCCCACATAGAGGTCTGAGCTGTGGTCTGAGGCTTTGTGTTTCTGACAAGTTCCCAGGTTGCACGGACATTCTGAGGGCTACATAAAAGAGCTGCTGCACCAGGGGAGAGGATTTTTCCCTCCTTGAAGGGAATCAGGGAGGAAATGAGTTGGTAAGAGGAAAGAGAGAGGGCCCACAAACCCTTTTGGAGGCAATGTGAGGAGATGTAATGTCATAGGGTAAGGTGGAATTCTATGCGGTGGAGATGTCAGTGCTCAGCATCCTGGAAACTCATGTCTTCCTGTCCTGCCACCTGTAACAGGTGCCCGGCGGATGCCCTTGTGTGAGCCAGGCCCAGCTCTGGGAAAGCCCCTTTCTGGTAAGAGTGACCCTCAGAAGCTCAGGGAAGGCCTTTGTAGCCTCAGAACTGCAAGTTGGAAGTAGCTCCTCGGCTCTTCATTCCTGAGTCCACACCCACCTCACTCTTGTTCCACTGCAGTTTGTCATCACTAGCACTAGGAAAGAAAAGAGAATGCTGCAAAATCATCTCTTCCTAAAACCAGCTTAATCCTGAGGCCTCACTGAGAAGCTCTAACTCCCAAGATGGAGGTTGTTTGTAAAAGACAGAATCCTAAGGGATGACTTAAAGAACAAAAAAGATCTTACCTGAAGCACAGCAGCCCCTGAAATGACTTACCAGGTCCCTTGTCCTGATGCTAAATGGGAGTGAACAGGAGTGGAGGAAAGGGGGCCTTCAGCACCCTCTAGTGGTTACAGTGTGGCACTAGCAAAATGCAAGTAGCATTCCCCACTGTAGGCTTGCCCTGCAGTACGTGTGGGATCGAGTACTTTAGGAAGCTCTCCTTGGTCCCCAAATAACCCTATGTCTTATGAATTTCTAAGAGATAATTTGGGTGAAAAAAGATCTTGTTTCAAATGTATATAGTCTGCAGAGATCAGAGATAGCGATCGGTCATTATACCTTAGAATATATTAATTTCACTAGGTATTTTTCTCCTGGTAAGCCATGTTCATTGACTCCATATGAACAGGCGTTCATTCCATGTTATCTGTGTGCCAGGTGCTAAGTGAGACACTAGCAGTTGTGAAGAGCATTGGGGGAACAGGGAGATAGGCTAATTCTGAGTGAATTAGGTCAACACAGAGGGCAATTTGTTGCAACAGAAGCACAAGTTGGGGCCCCAGCAGGGACTGTTTTCAGACCATGGCTAAGAGACAACTTTGAAGACCATGTGAAGTATGCGGGACTTGGGCAAGATGGTTTCCAGGCTGCTCTAATTCCAAAGTGCTCTGTGACTGGGGGGAGGTTGGGAGTGAGCTTACGCCCATTCATGGGGACTGCTTCAAGATTGCACAGACGGTAGTTTGGGTGAAAAGGAACTGCTGGGTTTGAGTGATGGTGGTAAGTAGTCCCGCTGATAAAGCTTCAGGAAGTCCGGGAGGAATTAACACAGGTGGTGAGGGTAGGAGAGAATGTAGCTCTAGAGACGAGCCCCTGGGGGCCAGAGTTCTGCCCTGCTAACACTGCTGCTCATGACCAGGGTGCTGCTGAGCTTCTCACCTCTGTCCTCAGGTTCCCCAGGCCCCCTCTTCTCTACCTACTCCCTCCACCTGGGCAGCTTGTTGGTTCACACCAGTCTCCAGCCTGACCAGGGGCCTAGGAGCCCCCATGGGCCTCAGCTGGACTCACGACTCAAGGGGGAGCCAGTCAGTGTCTGCTGAGGCTTGACCTGTGTCCTGCTCCAGTGCTCCACGGATAGCCAATGTCAGGGTCCAGCTCCCACCCTTTCACCAGGGCCAGCGCCTGTTTGCCGTGCTTTCTGGCTTCGCCTCTTCCTCTGTGCAGCTGCTGGTCCTGCTTGCCGTGCTTTCTGGCTTCGCCTCTTCCTCTGTGCAGCTGCTGGTCCTTCGCCTGGATCGGAAGCTCCAGTCTTGTATTTCTGCCCAGCACCTGCGCCTCGATGGCTTTCCTTACGTGGCCCGTCATTCCCATGTTGCAGAAGTGTCCCCTATTTCCTCTTCCCTCCTCCCCTGAGAGGTGGCCTGGTTCTCAGTCTTCCACCGAGGCGCAGCTCTGCCCCTTACTGGTTCTGTGATGTGCACAGAAAGTGTACCACTTTAGAGAGCTTGGTTCCCTCATCTGTAAAATGTGGTTCTAATAGACTTAATGGGATTCAGCGGGATTTAGCACAGCCAGGTGCAACATAGATGTTCTTTAATGATAGAGAACCACCTAATTACTATAGCACTGGGGCCCATTAGGCCATAGGAGCCTGGACCGAGTGTGGCAGCAGTGGGAATGGAGAGCCAGGGCCAAGAGAGAAGTGCATTTGGAAGAGTGAAATGACATGGTGCAATGCACTGTATTTATGGACCACGGAGAGGTAGACTCCATGCAGGCCAGGAAGTGCCTTCCCTGGTTAGCTGGGGCAATATTTGTGGCACTCGAGGTGGTGGGTTTCTAAAGGGAGTTGAAAAGACTGTTGACTTCCTTTCAGGAAGAAATTTCTAATAGGCATTTGGAAATTGGGAGCCCACGGTGTGAATTTTGAAACCACCTGTACAAATGAATCCTGAAAGGATGGAGATGCTCTAGGAAGTGGAGTAGGAGGCAGCCCTCAGAGTTACTCATTTTAACCAGTTTCCAGTCTTCGGTTCTGAAGGGGTACTTTGATTCTGGATCACTGACCAGCCTCCTAAGCTACAATTTAGACCTTGCTGTTAGATCTGGAGCGAGCTAAGAACTTAGTCTTAGTGCTGACTCCCTGCCTCTGGGTGAAGCCTTATTACCATATTCCTTCTTCTGATATAATTGTCTCTCCAAGTCAAAGTGTTTTTATGAAACAGAAGACAGAGAGCCTGAACTGGCTAGGGTGTGACACCAAAATTCCTGTCTGGTACAGCCAGAAGACCATTAACCCCTGTGTTCTGAATCATAAGCCAAGTCCTTAAGTTTTGTTAATTCTGTGCCAGTTGGCTTTAGTCTCACCTGCCTGATTCTCAGCTGTAAAGTTAGCTTTGGACATGAGGTTGTTGTACCTATAATCAATTCATTTCCTCATGTTTGCTCTCTAGAAATGGCAGTAACAAAAGGATACCCTGAGAAAATTAAGAATGAATCATTAAAGACACACCCTACCTGCATTAACTCCATTCTCTGTATGTGCCATATGTGAGCATTAGGACCACATGAGAACTTGGAGGGACAAATCCCCACAAGATAACACCCTCATTTCTACATCAGCAAAACTTCAAGGGACTCCCCAAACCACCCTCAAGTTAGATAATTTGCTAGGACTTACGGAACTCATTGGAACCTAGTGTACTTACAGTTTATTACAGGACGAGAATTCAGGGTGAAGTCAGTCAAGAGGAGGAGAGGTGAAGTCAGTCAAGAGGAGGAGAGGAGGGTGAAGTCAGTCAAGAGGAGTCAGGCCTCCTTAGTTTCCGGCACTGAGGCCTGACAATGTGCTCACAGTACTACGAACCAGAAAGTTCATCCAGAGCTTTTATTGGGGTTTCACTACATAGGTATTTCCCACAATCCAAGTGTCTCATCTCGCTCCCCAGTCCATTAGGAGGCTGAGATCTTGCTAGCATCAAACCCTTACCCTAAATATGACAAAGAGATGTTCTCTCAAAGGTCATTCCAAGAGCTTAGAAGTTAACTCCCAGAAGCCAGAGGGTAAAGGCAGTGCTTTATTTTATTTTATTTTATTTTTATTTTGGTGGTGGTGGGGGGGTCTTTACCATACAACATGAATAAAAAAATAAATACAAATAAAACTTGGAACACCCAAATCTTTAGAGCAACTCTTCATGTAACTCTTGAATATTCTACCAAAACACATCAGTTGTGACTCAATGAAATTTAACCCAAGAAGAACTGGTCATCAAAGCAACTCAGAACAGATGAACATATAATAATATAAAAGATGTATTAACAGAATGGCCACCAGGAAAAGACTATATATGAAGAACAGATAAAAATAGACAAAGTAAATTATACTTCTTATCGAAGTCTGGGTTTCTTCAGCACTGTTAAACCTGTCTAGGACCCAGCTTTCCAGGCTGCCTCCCCCACATCACACCACCCCAGGTGATCTCAGGTAATATGTATTTAAAGGCACATTTCAAAGTCTTCTCAGCCAAGAGGTGATAATTGATGTTAGAAAAACTCTGTCTTGGGAGGGGAAATTAAGCAAAAATGGGCCCAGATTTCCGTAAGGATGGGAACAGTGTAAGGGTGTTGTCAAAGTGAGGGCTGTAGACCAGCAGCCTTCGCATCACATGGTGGAAATGCAACTTCCCTGTCTTCTTCTCTGCTGACTCCAAAACTGGTCCATGCAGCAGCGTTTTAGCATGCACTCTGTATTTCAGTGCAGCTAACTACGACTATACAGGGGTGCATATCACTCAAAACCTTCACCCCAGCCTTGCCTTTTTCTGCGCCAACATAGAATGTCTTTGACTCCCACCCCCACCTCGCCACAGAGCAGCAGATGATGGAGGGTTTGGTGGCTGTGGATGCTGACAGAGCTCTGCACTTGGTTCTGGAAGCCTGGGCTGACTGCTTTGTCATTTCCTGGGCAAATCTGTTTCTCTGTTCCCTTGTCCATGAAGTAGAGTCATTACTTACCTCACAGACTGGTTGTGGACACTAAATTAAATTTTAAATAGGAGAAAAGTGACTAATAAAGCCTGGCACTTAGAAAGGTATTCAATAAATGTTTGTCAATCTCCACTTGACATCTGGAAAGCTCGTTTCTCATCCCTGAGGACACAGTGAGATAGTGGCTTGGGCTGTGAGAGCTGCAATATTCGCCCCCTCTTTACCTTTCCGTAAAGTAAGGCACAAGCAGGAGTCTAGGGAGAAGGAAGAAGTTATGGGGTCAACTAGATCGGGGTGGGGCAAGCTATGGGCCATGGTCAAATCTGATGCACACCTGCTTTTGTGCAGCCATGAGCTCAGAATGGATTTTAGATTTTTAGATCATTGAAAAAATTTTTTCAAAAACACTATTGCATGTCATGTGAAAATTACATGAAATTCAGATTTCACTGTCCATAAGTAAAGGTTTCTTGGAGCGCTGTAACACTCATCTGTTGTCCACGACTGCTTTTGTGCAATAGCCACAGAGTTGAATAGTTGCTGCTGAGAACACATGACCTGCAAAGCTGGAAATACTGACCACTGTCTTTTAAAAAGTTTGCTGGCCCACAGGCTAGGTGGAGAATAGAGACTAGAGACAAGAGATGATGCAGAAGATAAGTAGCAAATACTTTTTGAGCTCTGGCAACCAGGTGCCAAGCGTTTCTCATGCCTTCTATTATCTAATTCTTAGAACAGCACTTAGGAAGCAGGCCTCTCCTTATTCCCATTTTTCAGACAGAGAAACTGAGACCTTTAATGTGCACAGACCCCAGAGACAGTGCGGTCTGGCTTCCTTCCCGCGGAGTTGTTAGCACTGGCATGCACAGCCTCCTGTGACTGGGTGGGGCCCGCCGGGAGGGGCTGAGGGGCTCTGAGATGCATCAGGCCGTGGCTAGGAGAGCTGGGTAGTAGCTGACGAGAGGGAGAAAGGCTACCGCATAGTGTGATGAGAGTGAAATTTTGAAATGTCTGAGTGGCTTGTTTAGTGGAAAGAAGAAAAGTAGGCAGAAAGGAAAAAAGTCCTTATCACAGCAGATACTTCTGGGCTTAAGTCATGTCCTCCCCCCAACCCAGCACCAACAGCCACAGAAAAAGTGCTTATCTGTGACTCGCTCTCCTGGGCCTGTTAATTACCCCAGCTGCTAGTAAGGAGTCATCCCTCTGAGCCCATGCCAGGCTCAAAGAGGGAAGGAACACTCGTGAGTAGGAACTGGACAGTGGAGAAGCCTGTTGCCTTCTGCCTGTAAAATCAGAATGTTGCGGAACAATTGTTTCTTCATTGCTGTGAATGTGAGCCTTGTGTTTCCAAAGGTCAGTGCCTGTGAGCACATCATGGCTTAGAGTGGGTTCCTATGGTAATTAGGCCACGGTGACTGAGGGTGTTTTGTGTCCTGCCGTGGGGTGCTGGATTTTTGTCTTTCTGTGCAGTGCTGCTGGGTTCCTGCAAATGTAACCATTTCTGTTTTCCCACTTCTTGTTTTCACCCTTTCTGTGCCACACCTAGTTCTGGAGTCAGAGAATTCCGAAGCAGGTATGGTTCTCTTGCATTCTTTCTACCCCCGCCTTCCGCCAGAGAAATCAGAGGGAGCGTTCCCTGTGAGTGAAGGGTTTCTTTTTACTTTTCTCATCTCAGATGAGTGGAGGCTTCTTCCCAACGCCGATGCCAATGGGAACGCCCAGCCCTCTTCACTCGCTGCCAAGGGCTACAGAAGTGTGCATCCCAACCTGCCTTCCGACAAGCCCCAGGTAGGCATGGCCCACGGGCTGGCGGGCTGGTGAGTGGCACCAGCTCTTGAGTCTTTTAGTTTCGATTTGTCTAGCTGGAAAAAGCAACCAACTAGGTGCTGAATTATACTTTGGGCCAACTCTGGGAAAGGTCTGCAAGACCAGCGTTAGGAAGAAGCTGGGATGAGGCCAGCAAGGCCTGGGACAACACTGGTGTGTGCCAGGCTATCGGACAGGCCTAGGGTGTTCTGGGTGGGAAGTGTCTGTGAAATGTTTTGAAAGAGGGAATCCATTTGACTTTGAATAAGTGGGGAGAATGTTTGAGCTTGTTCATTAAGAATTCTTTAGAATGTAATATTCGGAAGAAGGGTGCACTCTGTTTATTCCATTTGTTTGCTGGAGGTGGGTGGCAAGAGTTCCAGCAACTCTGTCGGGTGGCTGTGGCCAGACCCCAACCCAGCAACCCAGGAGCAGGCAACTAGAATGGCCGGACAGTGGGGTTTAAATTGCCCCTCAGTCTGCTCTACAAAAGCAAATCCCCTCAGGATTTACCTTGCAGTGATCATTTTGCTTAATTCTTTCTCCCTCAGTGGTTTTCTTGATCTTTCCTCCTTCCCTTCCATTTTATCATTTTGATGAGAGGAATAGATCCTGTTTTCTTTGAAACAACCTATAAGCAGTGTTTTTACCTCCATGGAATGGAGCTGTCCATCTTAAGGAAACTGCTGCTCAAAACTTGGGACAAAGATGTGTTCCTGGGGTGGGCGCCTTCCTGTGCCTGCCTTCCAGGAAGGCGCCCTCAGCACTCATCGGGAGCTGGGAGTTCCAGCATGCCCTTCCTGCTCCCACCCCTCCACTCCCCAGGTCTTCTGGCTTCTGCTTCTGAGGACAGAACACCGCAGTGGCTCTGAAATGAAACCGAGTCAGAGACCACGTTTTCTCTGCCCAGGCTCAGAGGTGGGACCTCTGCGGCCATGTACACTGAGCTCACCACTCACCCTTTCTGCCCCCCATCCGGGTCCATGCTGGCCCAGCTGTGCCCGTGCCTGGCCTCCTGAAGTCCCCATCAGACACAGGGACTCAGAGGTCACTGTCCACTAAATGTCCTGCACTGGCTGTGGTGCACATGCTTCCTTCTTGGGTATCCTAAGAGTAGGATACGCTCGGCTCTGTCCAGGCTGAGAGCGAGTGCTGGTTATTAGGGCCAGTGTAGCAGCACAGCCTCGTCCATCATCGGTGACTAGGCCCAAAGGATGACCTGGGGTTCCTTTTGGTTTTCTAGTAGATCTTCAACAGATAACTCAAAAAGCATGAGTGAATAAAAATCTCCATTAAATACAGTTATGTAGCAAGTTTCCTTGAGCTCTTGTTGTATTAGATCACTGTCAGGCGTTACCCTCAGGAGTTCATAAGAGTATAAGCCTTAACTATGGTGATGGTGCATGGGTGAAATAGCAGTGGAAATGCTGTGGAGACTACACCTGAGAAGAGAAAGCAAATTTATATAAATGGAAAAAAAAAAAAAAGAGTGTAAGCCTTACAAGAAGGTGAGCTTCTCCGTGATCAACATGTTTTCTCGGCTGTCACTAAGAATGTTCTTTTAGGTAAAAAGGAATTCTGATAAGTTGCTGAGATACAAGTCTTATCTGTAATTTTATTATAAAATTAGTCAGCCAAATTTCAAGAAACTTTAGGTCACATATTACCTGCTGGATTTTATCTGAATGCAAAGATAACCTGTTGTGACAGGAGCGCTGTTGCCGCTTGGAAGGCAGTGAGGGCCCGGCAGTCCGGGGGCAGGCGTGCAAGGCTGGACTCTGCTGCTCCAGCAGAACTTCTTGTGCCAGTTATTGAAAGCGCACAGACTAGTAAAAGCTGGTCATGCGACAATGGTATGAGGAACAGGTCCAGAGGGTGGGATGGGAACGGGAGGCAGTTTTATGAGGGGCAGGGGAGGGGACCTCGTGACCATACAGCAAGAGCCATCTGCAATGGCAAAATATTTGATATTATCACAGACAGGGTTATCCGAGACCACCATAGAGATAATTGCATCATCAGGTCACCAGCAGCGTAGGTCCCCAGGCCTGCCTGGCGATACAGGCTGTAGTCTAGGCCATCAAGGAATGTTCTGCTGTGATTTGCAGACAGCAAATAGGTCACAGTTGCCCACGAGTGGCCAGCTAATAGCCAACTCTTCGGAACCCACAGTAACCTCTTACCTGTAGTCATCGCCAAAGCTGTACCTTCCACCAGGGTAGGTGAGCCCAGGTGGGCAGGGCAGGCAGGTGACTGTGGGCTTGGCCTGTAGCCAAGCATCTCCATAGGGGCTGAGTTGGGGTCTGGGAGACCCAAGGGCCAGAGGGGAACCCTATTTTCCCAAAAGCTCTCATCCTGTTGGCAGCCTGGCTCTCCTGCCCTGCTCTCGCCCCCATGGCAGGGAGCCCAGCTTCCCTCTCTCACAGTTCCAGCAAGCAGCCACAGGGGAGGTGGGGATTTGCCATCTCTGGAGTAGGTCAGATTGTTCAAACAGCCTCATTTTGTCACTGTCTTTTTTTCTAAAAAGAGAAATGGAATCTCACTCCTGGCCAGCTGGGGTGAAAGACAAACTGCCTACGTGGGCTTGCACGGGGCAGGACCGTGCTGAGTGCTCTTCTCGGAGGGCTGAAGCAGCCCCGGGACAGGAAGGCCTTTGGCTTTGAGAGCTTTGTCAACACTCTGGGGAAGCATCCTCTCTGCTGGGTCAAAGTCCCAAGAAGCCTGGTGCCTGATGTAATGCAGCCCTCACACCATATATGGTCACAGCCAAATTAAGTGAAAAAGTCATTGGAACCAATTTCTATCTTTGGACAAGAAGGAATTGCATGTGGGACACTTGAGTTCAAAGTAAAAGTAAATCGGAGCCTACTTCAAAATTGTCTTTTATTTACCTCCCTGACACCAGCATCAACTTATCCCAAAGTCTGTTTGGTGCTTGCTAGTTTTAAGTGTTTTGCTTCTAGAGAGCCTCATATAGTCTAAACATGGCCCAACCTTCAGGCCAAGTTCAATGAGCTCAATTAAGTTCGCCTGGAATTTTGGATCCTGCTGACTACCGAGGCGCTCGTTCTTTTTGTATTTTGCAGAATATACCCAGCCACATTCCATTGGCACCGTCCTGGGCCCTCTGTGGACAGGACAGGCATTGTGTTAACCTAGGAAACCCAAGTAGTGTCTCGTCCATCCAGGTTATTGATAATTAAAACTGAGACCAAAGGGTAGGTGGTTTATTGGTTTTGGGTTAACACTCTAACCCAGACTCAATAAAACTTTTTTCTTACCTATTCGCCCTTGTTAACGTCCTTTTTCCTCGGGCACCTGCATTCCACAAAAAATAAAAATCACCCCAAGATGGACTACCCCCTTGCACCATCTCATTTTGGGATCACAGCCTACTTAGTAGATATTGACAATCTTAGCTGTGCCATTTGAGAAGGGTTCTGATTTTCTTCTAGTATTTAACTCTCTGAAGAGTGTTCAGTGAAGAAAATCTACATATCTTTAAGAAGTAAATACATAAATAAAGAAAATTTGTTGATCTCGGCTTGGGTTGCAATAACAAAATACCAAAGACAGTTGACTTGAATAGGCATTTATTCTTTACAGTTCTGTGGGCTGCAAAGTCGTGATCAGGGTGTAGCCCAGCTGGGTTTCTACTTACAGCTCTCTTCTGGGTTGTAGATGACCACCTTCTCATTGATGGAAAGAGAAAGTTCTGGTTCTTTCTCTTCTAAAAAGGACACTAATCCATCATGGAGGCCTCAACCTGAGACCTGATCTAACTTTAATTGCCTCCCAAAGCCCTTCGCTTCAGTGCCATCACTTGGGATTAGAGATTAAACATGAATTTGGGGGGTGGGGCACACTAGGAAAATATACATTCCTCATCTTAGGGTATAATTCCCAAATGAGCCATAAATGACAGAGTTCTTTCAATGAAACAGGTATCAGCCTGGAGGTTTACCTTGTGTCCTGATCCTTTGTCTCAGGGTCAGGGAACAATAGCTTTCTGACTCTAAACCTGGAGCCTGAGTTTCGGGCATAAGCCAAATGTCTGGTACTGATCACCCCTGTCTGGGCTTCTCTGTGCATGATGATGGTGTAGAGGAGAAGGAAAAGGAGTCGAAATGTGATAAATCAGGCACAGAGCAATTTGGTGCACCAATCAAGTGCTTCATTGCCTGTATCTTTGTCCTGTGTGCACCAAAAATGTGAGACTACATGCCTCCAGCCCCATGCCGTCTTCCTTCTAATGAGTAGTTCCATCAGATTGTTCCCTCTGAGAAGAGCACATGTGAACCCCAAGTCCTTAGCATTCTCTTCTTGGTGAGCTCTAATTTGCTATGCTTATGGAATTGAGCACTCAATCTGTCTCCTGCAACACAAATAAGGGTGACGACTCAATTCTCTGTTCCCTAAGGGAAAGAATAACAGTTACTCAGGAGTTTCAGCTGTTAAAGCCAGAAAGCAGAAGAGAAAAATAATTGAGGAAAGGAAGTGTGTGAGTAGATCGAAGGACTTGGGGCTTCTTCCCCTGGCATTTAGCCCCTGGTTCTCTTTAGTCAGGTCTGACAGTGCAGGTCAGTCAAGGATGGGCCTCTCCCTGCGGTGTACAGAGAGCCGGGCCTGCCTCTCCAGGTGAGTGGGAGTCAGTCCTTGGCTCGACCCAGAAGAGAAATGTAGGGGCCACAGGAATCTGAACTGAGGATTTGCTAAACGTGTCAAGAATTGTTTTTTCTTCCGATCATGTTATGCTGCTTTCTAATGGTCATCCTTCTTTCCATTTCTCCTCCTTTCTTTTCTCCCTGTTTGAATATTGTTTTGAAAATGAAGCTGCTGATTTGCTCTCCCCTGTGTCCTCCTTTCCCTAAAGAGGACCGCTTTGCATGGCAGCCCCACGCCATCCACAGTACCTACAAGGGCTCCTTCCACTTGGGCTCCCCCAAGCCTTACATCCCGCCCGGCACCCCCAGCCAGCTGAACCCCTCACGACACCAGTCCATCCCTGTTCCCCTGGCAGCCAGATCAGCTCCTGAAGGTGTGGTGTGTCCTGAGCCCCGGCTTCTGGGTTCCACATTCCCCAGCGCTTCTTCCCAGCCCCAGCACCACTGCGCAGCTGCCAGGGCAGTTCATAGTGAGAATGTGAGCTCTAACCCACGTCATGGGGCAGTCGGGAATAAAAAGGTCAGCAGCTTATATGTACCTTGTTTATCCAATAACACTTGCCGGGTGGCATCAGAAAACTCTCGTGTGGCACGTGACCCAGCCAAAGGCACTCCCCGGGAATCTGCGGGCTCTCGAGCACCGGCTCCCAACCTTGCGTCCTGCACAGCCGGCACGGCCAAGGCGCCCTCTGCTCCTCCTCCTGACCCTCCCAAGCTGTTCTCTGACATCAGTAAGGATGCCGTTAACCAGGGCGAGAGTCCTTCCCCGGGGACTCGGTCTGCGTTCCCAGATGCAGTGAGACCACCTGTGCTAGGCCCCCAGGTGACCTCTGATCCCGAAAACTGGAAGAGAAAAGAACCTTACCTTTTGCAGCCGTCCTGCCCAGCCAAGGCAAGGATTTAGGAATGTTTGTGTGTCTCCTACGCCGTCTCCCAGACTCCCATGGGCAGCTCGTCTGCTTTCCGGGCTGCCCTGCCCTGCCTGTCCTTGTCAGTACTGCTGCGGCTTGATCCCGAATTCTTCTCTCTAAACACCTCAGCGTAGTCCTCTCTGTCTCCCTCCCTCTCTTTGCCGTAAATATGTAAGTATGCCGAGCGTGGAATCTGGAAGCTAGTAAGAGATACGGAATGTCTGTTTTGTAAGAAGGTGCCAAAAAATCCTAGGTACCCCCAAACTTTCAGGCTCTGCCAGCAGTTTGGGGGGTTAGGCGCAGCCTGCCTGCTTGCTCTGTCATTTTCTCTCAGAAAGTGTTAAAAGGATTCAAAAATAGATGGATGGAAAGTGAACTTGGATGGGCTTCCCTGTGTGTCATAGTCAGGAGGCCAGCTGGCGATGCCGCCTGTCTCATGGACTCTGAGGAAAGGGCACCGATTAAATATTTCTCGGAGTACATCATTGCATGTCTACTCTCAGCTGTTTAAATATGAGATTCCTTCTTCCCAGCTGTACCCCTTTACATAACGACCCCCTTATTTCCTACAGGATGCCACTTCCTCCAGCCCAGCCCAGCCTGAGGTAATAGTTGTCCCTCTCTACCTGGTTAATACTGACAGAGGGCAAGAAGGCACTGCCAGACCTCCAGCATCTCTAGGGCCACACGGCCCCCCAGTCCTGGTGACCGCCCCTGCCAGCTCACCTCTGACCTTCCCGACTCTAGATGATTTCATTCCCCCACATCTGCAGAGGCGACCCCACCACAGCCAGCCAGCCCGCACTCCTGGCTCCCTCCCCCCTGTTAGCCAGACACCACCATCCTCACCACCACCTCCGCTGGTCCCTCCGATCCCGGAGGGCCTCCACAGAGCCTTGGAGCCTGACCTCACGGGAGCTGTTTCAAGTACCGTAAGCTTGCTGGAACCCCCCCCCTCCTCACAGCTTTCCTGAATGTCTATTCCTGGCAGTAAAAAAAAAAAAAAAAAACCCCTTCTCACTAAAGTACTAAGTGCTGAGGGACATGTTGGCTGCTGCTGTGCTTGTGTGGTGACTGGAGAAGTATTGCTTCTACCGGAGTGCATGCTGCCGTGTGCACCCTGAGTCCCTGTGGCTGTTCACGAGCCTCTCGGCCTTCCTCGCCTCTGTCCTGTTTGAATGCACATCCTCCTGAGATGACTTTGTTTTCCTTCTGAGAAAACAACTTCTGTGATCTTTTGGCTAATTATATTCTTTCTAAGCCAGGAGATGTAATGTTGAGAGCTGGGGAAAGCTGGAAATTATGTGGAAAAGCCAACAGCAGGCCTCTGCCACTTTCTTCACCAGGGAGCAGGGAGATTCTAGCAGAGGAGATATTTCACTCTTTTGTTGATATAGCAACTAGACTCTTATATATCCACAGTAATGGAGACTATTAACAATCATTTTAAAGAGTTGAGTTTTGTTGAGCAATGGATATAAAAATCTCGCACAAATGTTAGGACTGTTACCTCAAGATAGAAAACTTCTGACACACTGTGTAGTGGCTGACAGAGACTTTTTGGCAAAACAGTGCCCCAGTAGTCAGAGGTAGTTAAAGGACACTGATGCCTCAGGCCCCATCCTTTAAAGAATGGCCCCCATCAGAGGTGGGAAATCTGTGTGGCGAAAAAGCTGCATCAAAATACTCAGTCCATTGTCTCTTCAGGAACCCTGAGAATTGAGAGAATGTGGAAGAACCACAGTGTAAATGCTAAGAGGGGGTGAAGGATCTACTCACAGGACTACAGTATGCAAGAGATCTGAGTGTATAAGAAGTCTGTTAAGGTGCTTCATATAGAAAGAAGCCCAACATTTTTAAGGTTTGCCCTTAGCAGATGGGGACCACAGTCCCTCAAAAATAAGCAACTGGTCAATAATTAGCCTCACTGCTCCTGCCATGCCTTGTTCAGGCTTTCTGCTAGACTCTGTGGGTGTGACTATGAATAAGGCAGGATCCTGCTCTCGAGAATAGGTCTTTAGAATAGGGACTGTTCCCAAGCGTAGAGTACATGGGATCATCTGAGATGCAGCGAAGTTTCCTTTATATTGTCAACTTCAGGTTTTGCTGTGTGGAACACACATCCAGGGGATTCTGAGGCTAAGGTGCCCTGGACCACTTTTGAGATGTAGAGATCTAGTGGCAATTGGCTGCTGGAACTACACGTTCACTGACATGCCTTTGTGGAAGGAGACAGGCTCAGTGGCTCCTTAAGCTGAAGCCCCATGTGAAGTCCTGGAAGGAAACTTGTGTGACTTGCGAGATAAATTATAATGAGAAATTAGCTGGGAACAGCTGCATACTGGACAGGGACTGTAGATGTAGCATGATTCAGTTAGGTCAGGACCCAGCCAGATGTGTCCCAGAACCTTGGAGGTACTTTACAGCTCAGCCCTGTTGGAAGAAAATGCTAGATTTTTCCCTGATGTACTCCCCTCACCCCAGCTCAATTTATAGATGAACTTAGACCCACTCTTGCTTTGGAGATTACACAGAAGGTTTCAGTAGAGCAGCATGTAAAGCGAGTCTTATTTTTAGCTCACTAGTATTACCATCGTGAGGAGCCTTGTTATGTACCCTGTAATTTCTCATGTATGTAGATCTAGATTTTCATGAGTTGTTAGCCAGGACAGTGTCCTCTGTGTCCTATGCCTGAATGGTCAGCCTGGTTCCTGGAGGGCTGCACTTGGTGTGGCCAGATCTGTTGTGGCCCCAGGTAGCTGCCTCCACTGAATGAGGCTGATTACAAGTAGGGGCCCTGTGGATCACCACCAAGCCACCCGCTGCTGTCTGTTCCATCTGAAGCTATTTGAGAGTATGAGGGAAGAAGGAAATGCATGGTGATTGATCCATGCTCTTTTATCAATGGCCATTTTTTTGATGTTCCTGAAATAAAACTTGTGCTCCCAAGTAAATTTGCAAAATGCTTAATGTCCACAGGATCCATCCAATTATCATGTTAGATGTTTATACTTTAAAGAGCTAGATCCCTGATTTTTTGTCTCATGGGTATATTATGGCAATCTCTACTAGTGTTATGTATCCTCATTACATTATCTTGGAAGTAAATGAGGGCAAGTATAACTTTCCACTTTGCAAATGAAAACTTGAGACACTTTTGCACACAAACTTTTTTAAAAATAACATAGTTTACTTTTACATCATCTTGTGCCTTTTTCCATCTCAGTTGTAATCCCCGTGGGCTTCCCATCACCGAATCACCCAGCACACAAACATTTTGTGCCTCTCAAGTTTTGGGGACAGGCTTTATTCACTAATCTAAGCGTGGCTCATATTTGGCAGTTGTGACAAGAGGGGGGCACGTTCAGAAGGTGGGAACTGGCCCAGCTGGTGTCTTCAGGGAGCCCCTTCTATGTGCCGGGCCCAGATAACCTTCCTCGTTTGGTGGACACCTGTTCTCTTGCTGCAGAAGTTGTTCTGAGACACCTTGGCTGGCAGATGGCTCTTGACCATCTTTCGTGTGGCATTTTCTGAGCGCCCACTGTCTTGAGGGCATTGCATTAGAGGCAGAGAGGAAGAGGGGTAAGGAAGGCAGGACTCTCCTCCTGAAGGTGCCTACAGATGTCTGTCATTGATGTCTGATGGAGCGTCCTAACTGCTTTAAACCATACTTTTGTCTGGGCAGAACTATCTTCAAACCCCTTTAAGAATGACATTCTGGCTCTCAGGCCTGAAAACTGTAAAATAGAAGCTTTGCAGAATATACAAGTTTGATAGAGAAAACTATAAATACCCTCATTATATGTTAGGATTTTATTTTCATCCCTTTAAGAAGTTTGGTGTTATTCCAATCATGTAGCTTCTGTTAGTAAAAATTGTATAGGTATTTCTAGCAGAGACTTCAGGTTTTTAAGTCAGGGGTTTCATTAGTCTTTAGAGATCTTTGTCACCTCAGTATTAAAGAGTGTCCCCGTAGGGAAAGATAATATCCAAAGCTCAGAAGCAAGCACTAGTAAAGATTGTTGAGTAGTGCTGATGCTAAGAGTAGCTTCCAAGAGTAGCAGTATTTAACTCTTCACTATTCTTACCTCAGTGACCTTATTTTCATCTTGTCTCCTATTCCTTAAACAAGCAAGAGTACTAAACGCTCCTGATTTTTCCCAATAAAACCAGCTCGGACTGTATTTGGAATTGCATGAGTTTTGCATGTTCTACTCTGATTTGAATTTGCTTTTTCAGTAACCAGATTGCTCCACAGGTGAAATTAATGAATGATATCGCTGAGACCCAGTCGCTCGCCCCCTCCCTTCTCTCCTTACTAATACAATGAAGAGAGTAAGCATTCCAGATTAAACTAACCAGAGCTGATGTCTCCTTTTTTACATCTCCTTTTCTAAAGAAGATCCTTGTAAAAATTCAGATTCCTTCTTTTTAAAAACCATGAACTCTAGGCTGCACGTCTTGACGGTTACAGTGTTTGTTTTCTTTCCAGGACCCAGGTCCTCTACTAAATGAAGTTTCTTCTTCCCATGGTGGAACTGATTCCCAAACCTTTGCCCCCGCCACCAAGCCGTCCTCTGCCTACCCCTCCACAACCATCGTCAATCCTACGATCGTGCTCTTGCAACACAACCGAGGTAAAGGAACTCCACGTTGTCCGTTCCCCTGCTTGCTGGGGTCAACACCTGGGGCAGGAGTCCTGCCGTGCCACAGCCGTGCACATCCTTCCCCGAAGCTGGCTTCCCCAGGGTACTCCCATGACCTACAAATTAGATCCCAGCAGGCAGGCAGGCAGGCAGGCAGAGGTCCCTGATTTGCGGTGTTGAATGTGGAAGCTGGTGGGGTACATGTTGCATACCTTGTGTATCCACAGGGAAAAAAAAAAAGGTGTGTCTTAATTCCTCATCCTGACAGTTCTAGGAACTTCACTTGGAAAATCAAGGTACAGGGACACCCCTTATAAACTGTGCTATACATCTCTTAGGTCTTCGCCATCATAAATTTTCTGGAAAGCTAAATTTTGAGTACCAAATTAAAACATGAGATGGAAAATTTTCTAAAATAGAAAACATGTTTGTGTATCTCTAAAATAGGGGCAGTTGAGCCTTTTCTTAGTGACCCGGGGCCTTCACTTCCCAGCAGTTGCAGAGCTCGGCCACGTCCGGTGCCCTCGGGGGCACAGGGCCTGGTGGGATGGTCACCCCTTCCGCTGTGTGGCCCCAGGCACTGCTGACAGATCTCATGTCTGTTTTGTGTAGTTACTCTGACAGCTCCTAGTTGGTTCACGCCCTTCTCTGAAAGGTTATCTGAGGTGAAGGGTAGCTTAGCTGAAGGTAAGTGTTTTGAGGTAATAATTGTTCTGTGTTGACCCTTCATCTTCAAAAGTCCAGAAGATGATTCTAAATCTCAAGTTTCATTTTGGAATTTGCAAGAGGAATAAACTTGTCCTTCACAAAAGCCTTTTGCAGTGTGAAGTGTAAAAATCTTCAAGCTATTTTTTAGTATAGAAAGAGCTTTTTAGTCTGAATTTCCAACAGTAATTATATTTTCACAGCTCAAAGCTCAATACCAAATCTCTTTTTTGACTCTCTGACAGCTTCCTAGTTTTTCCTCCCCTCCCCACTCCCAGAATTGGGACAGACTAGTGTCTGGTTTTAATTGTTTTTCATATAAGAGTTTTCTGTTTTCTACTTCTAACTAAAAGGCAACTGAATGAAATATTTTCTCCTACTTACAATCTTTCACTCAACTCTTAAGTAGTTATTTTAGTAGTTTTATTCTTTTTTTCACTCTGTGGCCCCCATATTAATTTTGATGCATGAATGTATGTTTCTGAAAATGTAAGAGGGGCCCTGCCCCCCAACGATGTCAGCGCCCTTTCTCCTTTCAGCTGTGCCATGCCCCTTACTGGCAGCGGCAGCTTCCTCTGCCCAGAAAGTGTCTGCAGGGCAGGACAAAGTGAAGTTTCATTCTCTCTGAGCTTCTTTATGACTCATCTTATTTTTAAAAATCCACTCAAACAGAAGCAAGTTAATTCCCAGAAAGAAGGGTGATTTCTCCAAAAGTGGGACTTATTCCCGAGGCAACTTGGCTTTGGGAAATGCCAAGTCTAATGTCAGCTGCTCCCACCATGTCTCTCTGATGACACCCAGCGAGACAGCCCTGGGCATGGAAATGACTGCAGGTCTTTTTGTCCCTTCCCTGAACCAATGGATTCTTCTTCTTCCAAAGAAGAAGAGCCTTTGGTTCTTGCCTTTTCCTTAAGTCCTGCCCTTGAGTTAAAACATCACAGCTGTGCAGTTTGAATCCCACAAGGATACAAATAACATTAATTTTTTAAAATTAAAATTGTTCCTGTAAAGAACAAACCAGATGTTCCCTGAGGAGGTGGGGCAGGAAAAGGTGGGGAGATTGGAAGAGCCTGGCCAGCCCAGCCTTGGGTTACTAATCATCAGCGGGGCTTAGGTCAAGTGTTTTTGGCTTCATTTTGGAATTTACCCAGCCTGGCAGCTCTGCTCTGTCTCAGAGACAGTCCCCCGACAACATTTTCTTACGTATTGCGAAGTCTCCTGAGGGAACGATAACTTTACTCCACTTCTGGAGTAAAGTTTGGTCATCCTAAAGAAGGTCCCCTTTTATCCTGCGCAGACTGTCTCAGGAACCATGAGACAGTAACCCTGCCCGAGCCAGCTCCACACGGTAATGGGGGAAACTGCCCCTCACCTCTGGCCTGGCACCAGTGGTGTTCCCTCTTCCCTGAACTGTCCTGCTGCATGTGTTGAAGGCAGATCTCTTAACATCCGTCTAGGGAGGAGGGCTTGAATCGAGCACTCACAGGACAGAAAGAGGGAGATGGCTCTCAAGGCTTCTCAATTGCTATTGTAGAGAGGATCCTGGAACTCCTCTCAGCTTGGAGATTTGGGTTCAGGAGAGTGGAGCAGGGCCATGATTCTGTACCTTCCTGAAAACTCTCAGGGCACGAGTCCTGTCAGGCGCCAACCGCACCAAACGCACGGCCTCCGTGCTTCGAGGGCTTAGGCTCTTATGGGCACGTGAGGCCGCTGGGGACCACCCTGTAGGGTCACTCATTCCTGACTGCTAGACCGCACCCCTGAAAGCAGCACTGTCGGTAACCCTTACAGTTCAGTGACAGAAAGGCCCTTTTATACCCCGAAGAGGGAGCAGTGTCGTCTTTTGAACTGAATGAATGTGCTTTCGCCTGCTGGGGAAGGTCTTGTGCCCAGCTTGCAGACCTGGTCTGGGATCTGGGGGCCCACGAGCACTCTGGCTTAACAGATGAGGAAACTGATTCAGAGTTTCCTTGACTGGTTGGTGTAACCGGGCAGGTTGCTGGCAGAGCAGAGCCCTCTGTTTAAGCAGCAAAGAGAGCCGCACGCCATGCCCGGGGCAGACGGGCTGTGCTGCTGAGCCTCCCTGCTGCTCCGTTTATTCTTACCCAGGCTGATTCTGGAGGGAGGTGGGGTGGGGCCAGGAGGGTGGTGGCAGTACCCAGGGGCTGGCAAGCAGTCTATTTTTATCTGTGTGGCTGCTTTATCTTTAGCAGCTGTGGAAGCTGAAGGTCATTTTTGTACTTGTCCCACAGCACAAGAGACAGAGCACTGCCTTCCCTCCTTGAGAATGCCCCGGGGCTAAGAGAGTGAACCACACAGGGTATTAGTGACAGCAGGGGCATGCTGGTGGGGGCTGGGAATGGCAGGCTCTGGCCCAGCTCTGATTTTCAGTGTCCTTGGGTAATTTGTGCCCCTTACCTGAGGTCCCTCAGCCAGTGCTGATCTACCTGCTAAGGTGGTTGCAAAGATTCAGTGTTGGCATGTGTGAAAGCTCTTAAAACAACGTCTGACACTTAGCAGGCTCCCAGGCAATGGCAGTTGCCATGGTTATAATTAAATTGCATCTTCCTCAAAGGATATGAAGATTGAATCCTAAAAATCCTGTCACTTGAACCAGGATTATTGGGAGGGTGTCCTTGAACAATCACATCCTCTTATGGCACGATCCAGCACGAAAACAGTGGCAGTTTCCTGGGTCCTGGTGCATTTCGGGACTCAGGGGAAGATGCCATGCTTAATAACGGGAGTCCCATTGATACCCCTGCATTCAGCCAGCCCACACATTTCATCATCTAACCTGCAGAACAGTGAAGACACCAATTTGAGGATCCTAACACATTCTGTTGAGGCTTCTTGGGCTTATTGTGTTGTGTAAATCTCATTTATGCTGTGTATTTTTTTCTTTTATCACAGAACAGCAGAAACGACTCAGTAGCCTTTCAGGTAAGTGAGAACTACTTACTCACACATTAACACCTATTCCCATGAAAGCCATTTCTGGCCATTACCTGGTGTTCAATCAGCAAAATTATATGAGCTCCTCAGATGCGTCAGGGCCTCTCTTGCTGGACCACAAGGATGAAGCTAACAGGCCAGTGGGGGCCAGCCAGACAGTAACCCAAGCGAGTAACTGTCCTGAGGATCTGTGACAAGTGCTTGGGGTTGGTAAGAACAGGATATTGGGGGTGAGAACCAGGCGTTTCCATGGCAGACCTTGCTGAAGAAGACTCCTGTCTCCTGCTTCTCTACATGCTAGGATGTGACAGGTTAGAGTTGGTACAGGGGCAGGTCCTCTCCTTGGTGGGTGCTGTAGGTGACTTGGGATGATGGACCCTGGTGAGACCCTCCTGAGCAGCCAAGCCTGGAGGAGGGTGATAGAGGGCTGGTCTCGAGTTTATCAGACCCGGATACCTAGGTCGCAGTACAGACATTTGGATTTCCTGGACTTGGCGCATTCTAGCAAACTCCCCCCAGGATGCTGCTGCCCCTGTACCAACAACTTTAGTGTAGCAGGTTTCATCGAGCTGACACTGGTGGGCAGCAACTGCAGATATCACTTCATTTACCAGGGCTCAGCCCCTGAAGGGGTGTGCAGGATCACGGCAAGGTGGGGAGGGCAGAAACCTGAGTGGAAAGGTGGAGAAACCCCGAGGGGAGTGTTGCACCACTCTGGCCTTCTGCAGCGCCCGCGACCCCGGCTCTTGGTGATGGCGCGGCTGCAGGCAGTTACTGATGTCACCTGTAGTTTATCTGTGCAGACCACAGGCCAGCTTTTGCCGCCTGTGGGAACGCGTCACGTCAGTCGTCCTCGCAAGCAGCACTGAGGGTCAGCTCTCAGGAGGTTCTAGAGAGATGCGAGGCCATGTGGTCAGCAGGTGCCTCCCTGCTGGCCCGCCATTTGTTGAGTACCTTGTGCCGGGCCCTGAGCCAGGTCATGTCAGGAGACTGCTGCCCTGCAGCAGCGTCCAGTGTGGTGGTGTGCAGCCACCACAGTCTTAACAAAGGCAGCAGATTCTTGCTCTTGAAAAAGGCACACATGTGCTAGCCCACATGCACGTCATAGCTTTGTGGCCACCCTCCGGCCTGCCAGGTACTCCTGGTCTAGTGGGCAGCAAAAGCACAGTCCCCTGAGCAGCTGCCCATCATTTGTGTTGTTTCATCACATGCTGTCCTTGCGGTGTGGGGGGGGAGGGCAGGGAGGACACGGGGCTGTCACGCCCCCTCCGCTCTATCAGGACCTGGCCTCAGGACCAGCACAGGCCGTGGCCGAGCCCAAGGTGCCCTTTCCCCCGCCCAGAGCTGCCGCTCTCCAGCCCACTTCGCTCCCTGGTCTGAGAACGGTGGCTCTGAGTAAGAGGCGGCTCCTGCCGGGTCCCTCCTGCCTTGGGAGTGTGTAGGGAGCAGGAGAGATGAAAAAGGCACCAAACGCAAGTCAGAGACGTGGCTGTGGGCGTGCCGTCTCTCTTAGCAGGTTGTCCCTTGGGTAAGGGACTGCACCTTCCTGCGAGAAATGAAGACCGTTCTCGCTCGCCTCCGCGAAGTTTGAGGACCACTGTGACAGCTCGGGGTGGCTTGGCCCACTGGGAAATGCCGTGTGATGGGCAGGGCCTCTCTGCCAGGCTGGTAGGCGCATCCCCGTCCTCTCAGTGTTCCTTCAGTCTGCGATCAGATGCACCCAAGGTGTTGAATAGAGCACAGCATGAGGGCAGCTTTTGTTCAGAGAGAATGAGCACCCTTGGTTCAGACCTCCTTTTCAGGCAGTTTTGCAGGGGCAGGGGCTGGCCAGCACCGGTGTGTGAGGCAGGCTTTGTCCACCACGCCGGGGGTGATCACCCTGAGAAGGGGTTTTATTGGTCCTGTCTGATTTTCAGGCCCAGGGAGAATCATGGGGGCAGACTCACATGGTATTTGGCCTCATGAAGATCCTGGCCTGCTGGGTAGACAGATCAGGTACATGACAAGACCTGGAATGGGGGGTTGGCAAGGAGGCGGCAGCCTGCCTCCCTTCCCAGGGAGGTGCACGTTTGGCTGGAAGCCGCAGTCACAGCGCCAAGGGCGCGGAGCTGAGGGAAACTGGCCCCTCCTGCAGGCACCGAGGCCCTGTCTGAGGCTGTGAGCAACCTGGTTACCTAGTGACCCTTTCCCAGACCCACCTATTGACAGACCAGGGTAAAACTAGGAGAGCTCCAGGAGGTTCTGTGAGGAGCAGACCTGCCGAGTGAGAGGTCGCAGCTTCCTGAAACACGGCCTCAGCAGAGGCCTGGCCCTGTGGTACAGGGAAGTGTCACTTCACGTGGTCTCTGTAAAGGAACGTTTTTCTTCAGAGACTGCGGTTCTGTAGATGGAAATCAGTTCAATCACAGATCACATGCTCACAAGCTTCTCAGGTGAAATAACCCAGCAGAGCTCGTCTTTATAGATCCAAAGGCCTGGCAGGGCTGGCACCAGCCCTGAGACTGGCCGCCGCGATCCATAATTAAGTGCTTGTGGTTAGAGCCACCTGCCCTAACAATTTTTTAAAACTTACTCTGGTCTGGAAACTGAGAATGGCCTGTCTGTGATCTGCCTCCTCCAGAGAGCTGACGTTGAAAGGGAGTGCTAGCGCCTCCCAGCCGAGGTGACAGGTGACGCTTGCAGCTAGCCTCCCCTGGCAAGGCTTTGCAGGGAGGCGGGGCTCAGCAGCACCCGGAAAAAGACGACTCTGGCCATTTGAAATCCCCCTGCTCTTCACGCTTCCTGTCAAAACCTTGGCTTTGTGTTGGAATTTCCTGGAGCATGATAGCACATTCTGTCAAGCCAGTCTTTGTGGAAAACCTTACTGTTCTTTAAAGCTCGTGGTGTTGGTGCCAGGAGTCAGGTTTTCTGGCGTAGTCATTAGGCTGCGCGTGCACAGAATGTTCGAAGTCATTCTGCGGCCCCGGAGTGAATAGCTGTTTGAGAAGTTAGTCTGAAATCCTGCAGGCTCACCCCCCTGAGCAGACTGAAGTGGAGGGAGTTGCTGTCCCCAGGTTCACTTTGTGTGTGCCCACCCTCCCCACCCCCACTGTGCCGAGTTTAATCTCTGGGCCAGCACGCTGCTGCACCGTTGCCTTCCTCAAAGATGAGACCCTGTCCGCGAGCAAGCAGAGGCCGACTGAGCACCTCACAGACTCCCAAGGCGCATCACCACCCCCTTCACTCCACCTCATGCCTCCCCTGGCCTAACCTTCCTGCCTCCCCATCTCCCCCCACTCCCAATATTTAGACTTATCTGTCAGCTGACATGCTCCTCCCTCCATGCCGCCCTTAATCCCACTTCCTACCCCGCTTCCTGCTCACCCCTTGACCCCTGAAATGCCCTCTTAAAATGGCTCTCTCAGAGCGAGTCTGTGGCTCCCCTTTTGCCTAATCTGACGCCTCCTCCTCCTCAGCTTGTTTCCATGGTGCGTGTTTGTTGCTGTTCTTGTTTGGGATGCACTGACCACCCACTTCTTAGAATTCTGTTTTCTCTGGTGTCAGTGACACCTCCCTGTGCCTTTTTGGTTTATCCACTATCCTCCTGACAACTCCTGCATCTTTTGGCGAGTCCTTTCTGCTTCTTAGCCCACAACTGACTTTCCTCCATGTATGACCCCAGCCCTGGATCTCACTCCCCTCCCCTCCACTGACTTCAGCGCCCATGTTTGTGCCTGTGGCTCTGGAATCATACTCCTCCTGGGCTTCATTCTCATGTTCTTCTGGGCCTCTACGGTATTTCTACCTAAATGTTTGCCACCTCCTCAAAATTACCATGGCTCTTGCCTTCTGCAGCCCAGTTTCCTGCCCTAACTTCTAGGTTTGGATCAGACCATTTTTCCTGGCTAGAAAGTTTGGTGCCATCTCTGAGGGAGGCAAGACAGGAGGTGGCTCAGAGGACCACGAACGCTGGACTAGCCCCAGCTGGCTTGTGCTGGCTGCGCGGCTCTGGCAGGCTCCTTCAGCTTCCCTGTGCCTTGGTCCCCTGAACTGTATGTGTGTTTTTTAAGATTAGTTATGCATAGGAGAACTGGGGTACAGGCCAGAGGTGCAGGGGGCGAGAGGATTCACCAGAGTTAGAGTGGAGGCAGAACAGGCAGATTGGCTGAAATACACTGCTGAGGGGAGCAGCGGGCAAGACAGGAGAGGTCTGGTGCCCCATGTGGGTCAATTCCTTGGTCAGAGATCAAACTGCTGCAGTGACTGTGGATAGCTCATAGTGCTAAGACAACCCTTTGCGCCACGAGGGAGGCCCTATATATGTATGTTTAACGCAGAGGGCAGTAATATCTTTTCTCAAAGGGCTGTTGGGAGGATGAACTGAGATAACATAGGGGAAGAGTTTAGCACCATGTCTGGCACACAGGCAGAGGTCTTGTGTATTTGTTCACGCCGCTGTGTCTGCCAGGAGCACCCTTCACTTCCTGTTTGACTAAATTCTTCCACCGAGAGGTCTGTCCTGAACCTCAGCTCCTCAGCTGAGCTGAATGCTGCCTCCTCTTTCATTCCTGGGCATCTTGCATTAACTTGGCTGGCTCTTGCTCCTTTTCAGCCCCTGGGCTATAAGCCTCCGAGGGCTCCCCTTGAGTCCAGGGTGTGTGAATGGGTAGCCAGGCAGGTGATCAGTCTTCAAATGAAGGCGTGTGACTTGGGATAACAGCTTATACTAAGTAATTTATACACTCTGTAGACCATGCCAGGTGTGTATGCTAGCCTTGTAACCTCTAGTCCGGAATCACAGAAACTAAGGTGCCCCCAGGATTTTCCAGCTTTCTTAGCAACTTGGCATCAGTTCTCTTAACTCTTCTCACAACATCACCCAACTTGCCAAATGTTACCCCGTTTTCAGATGAAAAAGTGGAGGCACCGAAAAGTTAAGTGATTCCCAAAGTCTTTAAAGCAAAGACTTTTGATTATTTGGCTGCTTCCTTGTGGTTTTACCTGTTTCCTGAGTTTCTAGAACTGCCAGGTCCACAGGGGTGTCTGGAGCACCAGCGATACCCTGTAGGCCACGGCCCATGCTGTCAGCACATTCTTTTAAAGAGCCAGGTGGTAAATAGTTTAGGCTTTGCAGGTCCTAAGGTTTCTACCTCAGCATCTCGACTCTCCCATTGGAGTGCAAAGACAAGGGTAAGAAGTCGGTGGAGGGATGGTGTGGCTGTGTCCTAATTTGCTGACCTCTGAGTGAAATTCTTGCCAACTAGGAATTAGCCGACACACTTTCCCCTAGCTCACTTGTTTGGGAGCTTTTTTTGTTTTGTAGCTATGAGAAGAGCTTCAACTACAGTGGTTTCCCTTTTCTAGATCCTGTGTCGGAAAGAAGAGTGGGCGAGCAGAACTCGGCACCAACCCAGGAAAAACCCACTTCACCTGCCAGGACTTCTGAAAAAAAGGCTAAGGATGACAGTCGGCGGGTGGCCAAGAGCACTCAGGACCTGAGCGATGTTTCTATGGACGAAGTGGGCATCCCGCTCAGGGTAGGGGTGTGACCTAGATGTACTCCCAAAGCTGCATCTGAAGCCGGGACAGAGTGCACCCCTGAGTCATATGAACTGCACCCTAGAGGTGCTAAGGCCTCCTGCAGGGGGGTCCTCAGCACCATCTGTTCCCCCAAAGCTGTGCCCCAGCCCCGTGGCTTGGGCTCAGAGTATAGCCGCTGCTCCCAAAGTGTGTGTTAGGGGTCAGTAAGCCTCATGAGAAAAGGGTCTTGTTTCTGCATGAATGTCAGGAGAGCTGGGAGGAACAAAGGCGAGGTTTCCCTGCAGCAGAACTGAGTGGCCTGTGTGTGTTTATGGGCCTGTGTTGTAGGTAGTGTTTCCTGTCTGGTGACGTGCCTGTTCTGAGGCGCGTGCTCAGACACTGCGAGGGTTAGAGAAGTCTGGAGGGAGGGCCCGGCTCAGGCTCCCCGTTGCATATGCCGAGGCCTCAGACACTGGGTCTGGCAGTGGCCCTGCCCGCTGGCCCTGATACACAGGCATGCCAGCCTTCAGCCAGCCTGAGGGAATTCAGGGGAGCCTGATTTGTGGAACTGGGCTAGGGGGATTCTCTTCTTCTCCATGTGCCCATCCGAACGCTAGCTGTGACTTACTTCTGTGATTTCTACTAAGCAAACCGACTAGTTTGAAGAGACTGATTAAAAGTAGCAGTGGGTTACGACTCAAAAGAGTTGTCTGGCCTCAAGTAATAATAAGTATATAATAGCAATAGTAAGTAGAAAGAGGATTATTACTAGTCTGGCCTCAAGTAATAATAAGTATATAATAGCAATAGTAAATAGAAAGAGGATTTCTAGTAGTAATTGCAGCTCCTGTGCTAGGTGCCTTATCTCACATTAACAGCATTCACTCTACAAGGTGGATACTGACATCATCCCCATTGTATGGATGAGGAAACAGCGATTCAGAGGTATTGTGCTCCTTGTCTAGGACTGCACGGCCTACTCAGCTCCCAGGCCCGCCCCCACCACCAGGTGCCCTTCCTTCTCCCCACCCACCCCAACTTGGGCAGTTCACTTAGACTTTATGTATTTTATCTCATCTGTAAAGAGATCTGTAAAAATCCCTGTCCCTTTATTTTAATTTGATCTTAAAAACAGCCCAGCATTGTGGTTAGGAGGAAGACTCTAGCACTGGAAGCTCTCTAGACTTGCCCAAGTTTATGAACTGTAAACCCGGCCCGATGCAGAGTGACTTAGATACACTTCTACAGAGCAACCTGAAATGGGGAAAGATGTCTCCTGATACGCAAATATTCTTTGTCCTGTGTTTCTAGGAGACTTTAGTCACTTAAATATGAAAAATGTCTCAAAATGAACTTTTAGAAAATTGTACAAAAATGGACACATTTCAAGTGGGTCCTTGTCCGTCCTGTTCAAAATCTACACCCTTCGGCCAAGTGTTGCTTTGCTGATGTAGGTTTGAGCCTCCTGGGCTGTTCTTCCTCAGGAGTTTTGCATTTTTAAAAAAAAGATGTAAGTGTGGGGTCACCAAGTATAGGCATTCGAGTTTTGGTTTCAGATGTTGTCCTTTCCATTTTGATCTTATCATAACAAACATTCTGAAATGTGCCCAAATTTCCATTTGATTTCATTCTTTGCCTTTTTCTCCAGAACACCGAGAGATCAAAAGACTGGTACAAGACCATGTTTAAGCAGATCCACAAACTAAACAGAGGTACTGCTCTCCACGTGTAGAATCTGCCCTGTGTTAACAATGTGAGGCGCTTCTAACCTCTCCTCTCCAGTAGCAGAGGCTGGGCCCTGCGGCTTGACCTCATTGGCCTCGGCTGCCTCGCCCAGCATGGAGGAGGGAGGGAGCGCTCGCACCTGCCTTGCCTGTGGGGCTTAAGGCCAGCTCTCTAGTCCTCCCCCACATGTGGGGTGCAGCAGGCTGAGCCCATCCCTCTACTGTGCTCCAGTATTTGCCTGCCTGGGACTCTGGCTGCTCTGAGTCCCGCCTGCTCCGGCTTTCAGCGCAGCTCCCTGACTGCTTTGTGAGCAGAGCAAGTTAGGAGCGCACTGCACTAGGGGTCCAGAAAAGTGTTTCACCTGGACTCAGTGCCCCCAGCACTCATGTGACCTTGGGCCTGTCACATACTCTGGTTTGTTCCGCTTCCCTTCTGCCGAGGGGTATTGCAGGTTGGAACGAGAGCATATCCTGCCTCATGAAGGAGAATGCATGGTCCCCCCCGGGAGGAGGTGTTAGTATGAAAAATAATCTGCCCCGCCTGGGAGCTGCACTGGGCAGGTGTCCCTGAGAGTCGGTCCAGAACTGACACACCGGGGCCACTCAGGCTGGAGGGAAGCGCTTCCAAATCAGGACTGCTGGGGCCGGCAGCATGGTGGGAGATGCCCCTCACCCCCGCCCTGCTCCGGCAGGCCATGACCCCACCAGCTCCCTCTGCCGGTCAGCTGACCGGCAGGACGAAGTGGCGCCATGGGAAGGGCACTTCTCCTCCCGCAGGCAGGCAGAGCATCCTGTCCTTCCCTGTGGCCAAATCCAGTCTGGCCGCCTGGCACCGATGACACATAGAGGCAGGGCAAAAGCGTCCTGGTCCCTGTTGACCTAAGTCTCAGTGAGCAGCCTCTGAGGCCGGCTAATATCAGTTAATTAGCTCTTGCCACATTTGAGATGATTTGGCTGTGCCCCACTTCAAACTGTCTTGAACAGTTGAGATGCTCAGTGTTTATCATTTCTGAGCCCAGAGTAAATCCACTACGGTTGGTGGGTGACCGCAGTGCTTTGGCCAGGCCAAGTGCTGGGACACTGATGGGGTGACAGCAGGTGCGCCGGTCGCCTCCAGTGGCCAGCGCCCATCTTCTCCAGCAATCTGCGTCTGTCTCAACTTTAGGCCCAGCTTTGCCGCTCAGTGCCAAGACGCAGCAGTGCGCTTGAGGAAAGTGCGGAACTCTGTCCCGAGGCAGCCCTGGGCCTCTCCTGTGTGATAACTCAGCCCAAATTACAGCCTCTAAATATAACTGCCCTATGGCCGGCAGAGGTCTTCGAAAAATTAAGAAATCTGTTTGTCTACTGTGATTCTAATGTCTTTGATTTTCAAAGAAACCATTTTAGGGTAGTGTTTTTTTTTATTACACACTATTAGCATATTTCATATTTTTTACCTACAAAAGGTGAAAACTTGAAACTTTGTGCTAAGTGTCCCTCACTGGAACTGTGCATGTGGAATTATTTGTGTAAGATGAGAAACGTTATTGTCTGTGTAGATGTGTCTCAGTAATTCAGGCAAAAGGACTGGATTTTTTAAAGCATTTTTAATTTCTTCCATATCATCAATGAAGCTTAGAATGTTCCAGAATTCACGGAGCCTGAATTGTGTGTAGATTCCTATTCGTTCATTCTCTCCATTTGTATCTTCCTGTATTCTCTCTTCCAAACCTGCTCCTCTGCCCAGACACTCCTGAGGAAAACCCCTATTTCCCTACGTACAAATTCCCCGAACTTCATGAAATCCAGCAAAATTCTGAAGGTACCATAAACTTAGACAGCATAACTGTTGTCCTAGCCTTACATTAATTAGAGTTTCACTATAGGATAAGATTGGCTTTTAGTTTTTGTTTTTATAGTTGTTTTTTGTTGGTGAACATTTTATTTCACTCATTTGCATGATGTGCTATATTAAAATAACTAAGTTCTTTCTAATTCATTAATCTGTTTTTACGTGTGATGGCGTGTGCTTTAATAACACTAAAATAGGTAATCATCTGAAAGAGTCATCATTGGGAACTTGCTAGTTCCTCCACTTCACGGTGGGTAGTTTCAAAATCCACTGCTTTTCTCTGCTACAGAAGACAATTCTTATACTCCTACCTACCAGTTTCCTGCATCTACTCCTAGCCCTATATCTGAAGGTAATTAAAGGAAAATCATGTGCCTCTCTGTTCCCATGCTATCACTTTCTTTTCACATTGGCATTCTTCCTGGTGGCTAAGGGCTGTCTCCCCATCACTGGCTTCCCTTTAACCTTGCATTTTGTGGTGGTTTCCTGCTCCTTGCTGACTGTAATTCTAGAGTCTACCCAGATGATGACTTAATCATATTCTCTTCGCCAGTACATGACTAATGGGGCAGCTGATGTCGCTTGGTTTTAATGCTGTGCACCTGTGGGGCTCTGGGAATAGCTATCTGTGCCCAGCCACCGTGGCTTTGTATTGGTGATGGTCACAGAGTGCTGGTGGCTGGGCTGTGACTCAGAGAAGCTGAGTCATTGTGACTGATGGGCAGGAGGGAGGAGTGCCAGCTGTCAACAGGAAAATGACCCAGTTGCTATGTACACAGATAATTTGTCACTAGACACTTCTTGTCCTGGACCCCCAAGGTGTATCTCTTTGATAAGGAGTTCCCAAAGAGGTAGGCAGCTATGGTGGGTGATGACACATGACATAAAGGCTAGAAAGCACTTCACAAAAGAACTGGTGGGTATTTGGAACTGCTAACTAAGAGGTATTCCTTAGAGGGACAAAGAAGTCTAGGTATCAAAGAAGGTTCTAAAAGTTGAGTTGAGGCAATACCCTGAGTATTATCCTAGCCCCAGCGATTGTCTGAGCTTTGGCTGCATGTCCCAGAAAGGGGAGTGGATGAGGTACACAGATACAAGTTCATGAAATGTTCTTCTAGGATGAGATGTTGAGGTCTGTGAGCTTTGTGCATTTGAATGGCACAGTCACTTGATGTGCCATGCACTGTCCTTAGAAGCGAGGATGCATAGTGCCATGAAAAAGACATGACTCTGTTCTCAGAAGTTCACAAGAGGCAGATCACTAGGGAAGACTGCGCATGGTACCTTATCCGGTATGGGGGCATTTGCAAGAGCATGCACCGATAGGCCACTGAGAACCCTGCTGGCACACAGCAGGGCTCAGTGAACACCTGCAAGTGTTGGCAAGCGCAGGCTTGTCACTGTGGAACCAAAGTGCTTTCTGGGCAAAGGCATAGGACCACAACTACCTCAGTGCTGCTCTGCTCTAACTAACAACAAAACACCCCACACAGCAGTCTCAGTACTGGCCAAGCCATCCATTCAGTCCTTCACCAAGCTTTTATCCATCATTTAGCATAGATGAGATGACATGCTAGGATGTGCTGGATACAGATTTTGTTAAACCATATTCCCTTTTTTGGTCTCCCTGTAAAGTGCTAACTAGGAGTCCCTAAACTTTCATGCCTGGAGTCTATTTTGAACAACAGAAAAAGTTTTCCATACAAATCCAGATCTAAAAAATTAAAGCTGTTGATTTAATTTTAATCACTGATTTGGCTGTGAGATAACCTGGCCTTTTTATCTTGGGTTGCTGCATTTCTCCTCTTTCAAGACCATCATTGGCCCTCGCTGGTGGCACAACAGGTTAACGCACAGCACAATGAAGCTTTCCGCAGCCCCTGCAGCACAAGTTTGATTCTGACTAGGGAGGTGACCCACATGGCATGGCAGACCTCTCCTGACCTGCCCGCTGCTCCCCTCTCTGCTCTCTGGTGGGTCCTCTCACCTATCCCACACCTTGCACCCTTGCCCTGTAGCCCAGTTCTTATATGCATAAGTAAATAAATCTTTAAAAAAAAAAAAAAAAAGGAACAGCCCATTGGTTTGGACAGATATATTTTGAGGGGTAATTTTAAACAAGTGCAGTTTTTTATTTGTGCTTTATTTGTACTTGAGCACTCATTCATAAAAGAGGTGTCCTTGCAGGGAAGATGTCACAGGCACAGCCTTCCAGGAAGCATAGGCATGGGCAGAGACAGCTCCCTGGAGAGCACTGGGAGAGCCGCATCCCCTGTGGACTGAGAGGCTGCCCTGGCCTGTCCCAGGCCTCACAGCGGCTTCCACATCAGCCTGGCTGTGGCCTGAATAAGGCTTCGTGGCCTCACTCGCCGAGCTGCCGGGTCATCTAGCAGCCCTGCCTGACAGTGGCGTTTTGGTCACATCAAGTCAGGCAAGGAGGCAGCTGGAGTTATTTTGCCTAGAAATCTAAGCAGTGGGAGATGACATGGTAACGTCTGACCTGTAGTTTATTTTTTCAAGAACAAAAGGAAAGAGGTAGTCTTAATAGGGTAAAAAGGAAAAAATTAGATTGGATATAAACAATGCGTAATAAGCAAGGTAATTAAACTTGAGTATAATTTTTCAAGATCCCTGGAGATCTTTTTAAAGTAGGGTGGATTCCCCCCACCCCCCATCACACATTCCCCCTTCCTAGGTGACAGACCTACCCGATCACTGATGAATTCAATCAGGGGGATGCTTTTTACAAATGAGGGTAAGGTCTTAGGTCGCTTTAAGGACTTTTCATTTATGTATTTAGGGGCCAGGAGCTTCTCTGTTCCCAGTTGAGGTTGCCTGTGGGCTGGAGGGCAGCTGGGAAGACCCATCAGCTCAGAGATTAGCACCAGAGGAGCTCTGCCCATAGTAAGGAGTGTACAAAAGCAGCTTTACTGAGATGGAGCTGTCTTGCCAGGACCTAGCTCCTGGGGAGGGAGGAGTTGCAGCTGATTTTGTTTTCTCTGGATTCAGAATTTGAAATGAGCATTATTTGTAATAAACATATGAAAACTTATTAGCCTCAGGACTGCTGCCTCTAAGTCCTAGTTGTTTACACAGCACGAAAAGATTATTTCTGAGTGTCTCAAAGCTGATCTCCCTAGTGAAGGACTGTGTGCAAGGCCTCTTTTCTTTCCAACTATAGTAAAAAAGTAAACTTTTGGCCAGACGTGCAGGAGATAGAGTTCTCATATCTTAATGAAGTCTAAAATGAACTTTTAAAGAAACTTATAAATTTCAACAAGGATTGGTCACATCCTATCTTTTTATACTCTTGCGATCACTCTATAGGACAAGAAGAAGAGTAGTGTTACCTTCTAATTCCTCCTTGTTTGGGGCTAGGAAATTTGGAGTAGAATAGACTCAAGACTTGTTTGCTGTGATTTCATTCCATACCTAGCCACCAGAAATCTTATCAAAAATAAAAATAGTTTACCAGAAACCTTTGGAAGTAATATTTATTTATTTATTTTTACTTAAAAGAAGAGGTTTATTGAGGAAGGGGACAGAAGAGTAAAAGACACTTGTATAGGCACAAGTGGGCAGGATGAGCTGCTCTGAAAGGGACAGGTTTGCTGAGGGAGGCCTGCATGGTTGCAGGTGGGCGGCCTCAGGACAGCGGCCTCTGCTGAGGGAGGTCAGTGAAGAGAAGCCCTGGGAGGTAGAGGTCACGGGCAGGCAGGAGGCTGCTGCCCTGCAGAGCTCTGGAGAGAGCTGGTGGAAAGAAGCACCTGCATAGTCACAGGTGGGCAGAAGACTGCTGCCGGAAGTAACTTTTAAAGTAAGGCTAGTAAGCAAATGAGTTTTCCTTTTTTTTGTTTTTTAACTTTGCTTGACTACACCCCTTCCCCGCCATCATTCCTCTCTGACACAAAGCTGCTTATCTGGCAATTACACCCCAACTTCCTCATAAAGGCTAAGGCCCCTTTTTCTCTCTGAGATGCCGCTATGTCAGAAAGCTTGAGGGGCGTGGGGGATGTCAGTGGAGAGCACTATCAGCCCAGCCTCTGCTGTGCCCAGGCTGTGGGCGGGTCTCCAGACCGCCTGCCCGCGGTTTCTTCCCCAAGCAGGAAGGAGAGCAAGCTGTGCAGAAACATCTTTGAAAATGCAGCCGTTGCCTCTACCCCTGCTTCCTGCCCTAGGAAGCAGCAGTGTTGGGGGGTCAGCACCTCAAAGGTAGTGCCCTTCACAGCATACCCCCCACCACAGTGACCCACTGGTGACAAGCACAAGGCTCCAGGCTGAGCTTAGTGACCTCATTTCCATCCCCCCAGCAGCTTCCTGAGGGGAGTCCTCACTTTCTCAGAGAAGCGTGGAGCCTCAGAAAGGTTAAGTGATTAACTCACGATTGCATAGTGAGTGCTAAAGCCACGGTTCAAACCTGGGTCCCCGCCACATGGCCTTGTACTTATTCTGCTCTGCTGCTCTCGGGATGAACCACTTCCCTCTCCTGCTGCGCTGTGTTCCTAGTGTCGCCTGGCCAAGGGCCTTCTGGCGCTGGCTCCGTCTCCCACTTGCCCTGCTCGTGAGTCAGCCATCCTCTCCTCAGCTGTGTCGGCACCTCCCGTGATGGTGTGTGGGAACACGCAGTCAGCAAAGCTCCCCAAGTAATTGGACTCAAGGCCAGGGTTGAGAACCACATGGAAGATGCTTTCAAGTGGTACCTCAGTATCCACAGCACAACCAAATAAGTGGCGTGTGACTTCCGGGTCCATGCCCATGAGAACCCATTTGGCCAGGGCAGGGTGAAGGGCTGTCAGCCAGAGGTGAAGTCCCAGAGACCAGCTTTCCCTTGCTTTCACGGCTGGCAGGATGGTGATGGCCACTGCCCCCTCCTGGTGGGGTGACTCAGGATACCAGCTCTGGGCATCGCCAGCTGGTGGTAACCTGTCTCGTTATGGTCGGTCTGTTCGTTGTGTTTCGTCCTTATTCCTAGATGAGGATCCGCTCAGGCTCATGTTGGAGGAGGCGAGTTTTCCCAGGCACATCTATATTTGAGTTAAAATATTCTTATACTGGCCTTACAGGATTTCTAAGAATAGCCTTATTTTGCTTGAGTTCAAGAAAATATAGTTCTATTGTGAAGCCGCCTGGCCAGGATCTGTGCCTCCTGCCCAAAACTCCACTGGGCCAGCCCAGGGGAGGGGCTGAGCTGCCCGGTCACCTTTGCCCCCCTAACTGGAACCTCCCAGAAGGTCTCTGCCTGGTAGCTGCAAATGTCTCTCACTGACCTGCAGGACAGTGCAGGACAGTGGCAGTTGCCCCTCTCTGCCACCACGATCCAGGAATGCCCCTGGAGGCAAGGATGGTGAGTCTGCCCCCAGCCCTCTGGTCCTCGCAGGTATTCACCCCTCTCCTTTCCACCTTATTCTCTTCCACTCTTTAAGTCTATTTGTCCCCACACATTTGTCTTCTGCAGCTCTATACCCTATACTGATCTTTCTCATCTTTTAAAATGGGATTACCTTTAACCAGAGCATACGTTGCCAATCTTTCCCAACCTCCTGGCTATTCCTAACCTCCCTCCCCATTCCCTTTTTGCTTAATTCTTCCTCTCCCGTCCTGCCCAGACTTCATGCCCACCTTTCTATCTGTCTCTTCATTTGTGGTGTGTGTGTCTATCTTGATCCTTTTATTTCCTTTCTCGTGCTCAGTGTGTGGAATCAAGAAGAAGGAATTAATTTAAGCAGTAAAAAAAAAAAATTGTGAGCCTTTAGTATTAGAAAAATGAGCCATTCGTATATTGAAATATAACTGATCATGAGCTAGTGAAGAGGCAAATGCTGCTTTTTGGCCTATTGTCCGTTTTGGTCAGTTAAATACTGTAAGTAGTTATATACTGTAAGTAGTACAGTTGTATACTGTTAACCATTGTCAACAAGTACCCTCTCCATTGGCTTTAATACTGGCGTGAATTCTCAACAACAGACCCAGAAAGGGGCTTTTTTTTAAAGGTTCATTTAAAGTCACTGTGGTTGAAACGGCAATTATGTGCTTCCTGGCAGCTTTGGGAGAGCATTTGTCCCCAAATTGAGCTACCAAATTGAGATTGACAAAGAGGAATCATTGATGTGGAAACTTCAGAGCCCAGCAGGGACCTCTGGGGCCTAGAAGCGAGCTGTTCGCCATGAGTCAGTCCTGCTTAGTGGTGGGGCTTCTTGGAAGTCACTGGCACAGGAAGTCCTGCCAAGCTTGGTGCTTGCTGCTTGGGACTGTGAGGGGCACAGTGAGCACATGGCCTCATCACAAGCAGGAGCCACAGGTCCCAGCTCAGCCGAGCCACCGCGGTGTGGTCTGGAAAATGAAGCAGGGCTTCAGACACAGAAGACGTCTACCTATCCAGACACCTTGAAAGTGTTTCAGTTAGTGTCTGCACTGTGGTGGAAACATACACTCCATTTGGGCAGCTCTTGTATGTAGAAATGCGGAAGGGTGACCCTTACGCCCAGTTTCCCCATTTCCTTGGTACCGACACCATACCCACTGACCCTGCTGTGGACTTTGCTTGCCAGGAGAGGTTGCAAGAGGTAGCAAGTGGAAGATTCAGCAAAAGTGACTTGGTTTTACCAACCTTTGTTCCTGGAGACCAGCAGGAGGAAAACTAGAAGTGTGCTTTGGGTGACTCAGAAAACTTGGCTTGGCATTGTCACCAGGGAAGGGTGATACAGAAAAATAGAACAAAGGCTTCCCAGGCTGGGAGTCCCTCTGACCAGCACTGCAGGGCCTGACTTGAGTTCCAGAACTGCGTCTTCCTGTCTCTTCCATAATAAAGACTAATGCGCTAGCTGCATTTGTTTCCAGGATTGAGCCCATGAGACTGGGGGTAGACAACAGAGCCATAGGTACCCAGGGGGCAGAGAGACAGAGTGGTCTGTCTCTCTTCCCTGCTGTGTCTCCTTCTCACTGAGGGCTAAGAGCAGATTCCTTCATTTCCTTGGGCCTTAATTTTCCTTGTCTGTATAATGAGACGTCCATGTATCTCCAGGAGTGTTTGTGCAAGGCTTTAACTTATCAACTGCCACTAGACACTTAATAATGGGAGCTGTTATTATTTGTAAGGACAGGTAAAATTTCCATTAGATTTGCAAGACAAACATTAAAAATTAAAGTAATAAAGTGTTTATTTCCCTACCAAAATTCAGATGAGTGAACACAACTTCAGTTTGCCCTTTCAAAAGTCAATAAACTGAAAACCATGTGTCAGACCTAGATCTCGTGGACACCATGAGGAGTGAAGAGCCTGTGCCTTCCAGATGCCCCTGCCTGTTAGCCAGGGTGGGAGAGGTTGGTTTTCCACCTACACCATGAGAAGTAGCTGTAAGCACACTGAGTCCTTCAGGTCACTCTGTTGCCTTCGTTTCCCATCTTATCTACTTCTATCTATTTTTCAAAATACGTAAGTTGTTTTACTTCCTAAGCTGTGCTCTTTTTTCCATCTTAAAAGAACTACTTCTCCTTTTACGAAGTCTTCTAGAATTCCACATTAGAATGCTCTAGGGAAAAAGTTTTTTTAAACATCTGAGAATTTTAAAAAATCTTTGAATATTTAAAGCTGTTTTCTCCCCATTTGCTTTTTACCTCAAGTGCCTACCTGTTTGTAGTTAGAGATTAACCCCTACCTTACCATCTGCCTCTACGCTACAATTTCTCTATGATTCAAAAGCATTTGGGATTTTTAATTAAAATGCTAGGCTGAATTTTAAACAGTACAAGCATTGGTTCTGAAGCTAATTTTTCATTTGACTGTCATTTTACCAATCATATTCCTGCAGTCAGAGCTCATTTTGTTTTCTTTGACATTGTGGTGTCTTTTCTGTACAGTATTCAGAAGTTCTGTCAAAAAAAAAAAATAGGCAGCATAAAATTTAGAATAATGCTTCAAAATATTTATGGTTTGGGATCCTATTTTATCTTTTCTGCTCTATTTTCAGGAGTTAAATAAGCATCCTTCTCAGTTTATAACAGAGAAAGACTTGGCTTTGTTTATAGAAGGTCCTTAAATCCTGTTCAACTTTGCTATTGATTGATTCATATCCTTAAGCAAAAGAGGGAGGGAGGGAGAGACAAAGGGGGGAGGATCCAATTGTTACCTGATGTATTTCCTTTATTTAATCTTGAAGAGACCAGGGACAGATAAAAATGGAGAGAGAAGAGAAGGGATTAGGTAGGGGTGATAGAGAAACTGTCCAAATTTGAATAGTAATTTACTCAGAATTAATATTGTTAACTTCCTTTACATTTCACAAAACCTCATGACCTTTTCTGCTCTGATATTTAAAACTATTTGCATAGAGAGAAGGACTTGATTAACATTGTCATTAACATATTATATTGGATTCTTTGATTTAACTTCTCACATTAGTTCATCTAGTTTAACATATTTATGAACTCTGATTCCAGGTTAACAAGATGCTAGAGGCTGGGAAAGGCTGTTTCAGCCCCAAGTCTTGTTAGAAAAATGCTCTGGAGAGATCCCTGTGGGTGTAATAACCAAGTATCCTGTATTTTCAGGACAGTCCCGTTTAGAGAATGGTTCCCTGGGTGTGCCCGCATCTGTCTCGTTTCCTACAGCCTCTGCTGTGAGGGACCAGATCTTGACCTGGCCTGCATGACTCAAGAGCCCAACAGTCAACCTTTTAGTGCTGTCAGGCCCTGGGAGCCACTTCAGCCCACAGAAACTCTGGGGTTTAGTTTGTTCCAGTCACAGACACACACCAGGGGCAGCCTTTGCATAGCAAACCATGGAACCACTTCTGCCCCGGGCGTGCTGTGTTCCAAGGGAAGAGAGAAGCCAGGTTGAAGCAGAATCAGAATGAATGATTGGGGCTTCCTCAAAACATTGCCTTAGTGGCAGAACCCCTTAACTATTGACTGGAACCTTAGCACATAGGACAGGTCCCAGTGGAGGTGGGAGCCAGAGACCCCAGCTGCGGGCCAAGCCATCCCGTCTAGGAACAGGCCTTAGGTCTCAGCAGGCAAGGCCAGCTGCTTCCAGCTCAGCCAGGCTGGGAGCCCGGCTTCCAGCTTTGGTGGACAAGTTCTTGTGAGGATGTCGGGCTTTTTGTCCCCGTGCTTTGCTTGGTGGCAGGTTGGCAGTCACTCCCGGTGTTGTGAGTGAACCCCTGGACTGCAGGCTGCGGTCCCCTTCGGTTGGGTGGGCACCTCTTTGGTGTGTTTGCCGTGGGGTGGCTTCCAGCGCTTGACTCCCCTCCGCGGGCTCCCTGTGTGGCTGGAGTCCAGTGCAGGCTGTGACCGGGCATGTCACTCGGGTCTCTGGCCTCAGCCAGATTCCTCCTGATTACACTTTGTTTTGTTCAATAGATGATGATTCAGATCTGTACTCTCCTCGATACTCCTTCTCTGAAGACAGTAAGTGATTTAGAATTTCCTGCTTGTGGGGGAGGGAAGGAGGGTGGCGGGTGAGGGAAGACATCTCCCTGTTTTCAGGTTCCATCCATTTTAAAGGTCTTTTGTACGCACTTTCCTTCTCCAGCAAAATCTCCTCTTTCTGTGCCTCGCTCAAAAAGTGAGATGAACTACATTGACGGTGAGAAGGTGGTTAAGAGGTCAGCCACACTTCCCCTCCCAACCCGCTCTTCCTCACTAAAATCGAGCCCAGAAAGGTAAGTGCTTCCTTGTCCACAGTGAGCTTGTGCTTTTCAGCTGTCATACACAACTTTCTAGAAAAGTAGACTCTCTTTCTGTTGCATCGGCCTGATGTGCATCTCTTTTCTTTCTGTTGCTGATTAGCCATGACTTACTCTTCCGATTGCTGTGCCCTCTTCTGGAAGATGGGGCCAATCTTACGTTGATAAGGGATGTTTGCAAGGCTAAATGAGATGATGTGTATAATATTTCCAGTAGTTTCTGGCTCACAGTTTGGGCTGTGACGCTGGCTACACTATCATCACATTTACCTTTTTTCAGGAGAAATCTTGGCTGCAGTATTTGTTGTGTTGTTATACTTAGCATGCATACTGATGCGTTCCTAGCAGAAAATGTACTTCAAAAGGGAAGCTACACATTTTAATATGTTTATTTATACAACGCATTGTAAGACAGAAGGCTTGGCCTGCTTCTCATGATGACATTTGTCATCGCTTATTGCCTGCACTGAATGACCTGATTTTCTCTTATTGAGTTCTTATGCCAGTGGAGCCTTCTTAACACTGTCTGCACTGGTGCCTCATGCATTTCCCAGCTCCTTCTCCAACCGCTTCTCCACACAAGAAAAGACTCTGCCAAAGTAAAGATTTCCTTAAATATACACTCGTTTTCATATCTTTTCCACCTCACAGACAAATGAATGGCTGTTTTTAAAGCCCCACACATACTTACGTGGCACCTACCTGATGAATTTGATGATTAATGTAAAAGGAGACCAGGCACGCTGGTAAATCCATTACAAGTGCATTCATCAGTGTATGTGCGTTCTGGGTGCATGCTGAACCAGATGTTAAGAGGAACTCAAGCGTGGATAAATAAGTGTCCCTGCCATAAAAAAATTAATATAAGGGCAGTATAAAAAGGTGATCACTTACATGCTTAAAATATTGCTGGCAGTATTCAGTATCCTGCATCCTCTGAAGCCCATCGAGGATGCCTGCCTAAGTATCTACCAAGGCTTTGGCGTGAAGTGTGGAGTAGGGCGGAACATAGACTAGCAAACAGCACTTACTGAGTGAGTAGTGGGGCCAGGTGCTCTGCCAAGTGATCCACAGTAGTACCTCACTTAATCCTTATAAAACCCTCAGTTTTCAGATGAGGAAGGCGAGGCAGTCAGAGGTCCAAAGCTTGGCCTGGACTCCCAGCAGCAAGGACTGCAGCAGAGATTCAGCCAGAGCTCGCTGGCTCCTGAACTGGGTTCTCTGCCACTGTGCTGGCATGAGTGGGCAGCACAGGCATGTCTAGGGTAACGAAGCAGAGCGGGGTGAAGGATTTTTCCAGAGCAGGTGTTGCTTTTTTTCTTCATTCCTTCTCCTCTCTTCTCTGCTTCCAGTTTTGAGCAGAGGATACCGCAAGCCTTATGTGAAATGGACACAGATTTTTTTTTTCACTATTTTTTTTTAATTATTACAAAAGTTTATTTTTACATCATTTTGCACATTTTTTTTTTCCATCTCGATTGTAATCCCCGCGGGTTTCCCATCACCAAATCACCTGTGTGCCACCACCATAGTCCCGTGCATTTCCCTCCCTTAGGCCCCCCCCCCCCCGTTTTTAATCCCATTCCCCACTCCACCCCCACAGAATGTCTCTGGTATATGGTTGTTCATTATTTTTGTTATTTTCTCGCCTGGTCCATTATACTCCTGCTATGAGTGAAACCATCCGGTATTTTTCTTTTTCTTTCTGGCTTATCTCACTAAGCATGATCTTTTCCAGCTCCATCCAGGTTGCTGCAAAAGACATGTGTTTCTCTTTTTTGGTTGCTGAGTAATATTCCATTGTATATATGTACCACATCTTTTTTATCCAGTCATCTACTTTTGGGCATTTAGGCTGCTTCCATGTTTTTCCAATTGTAAATAAAGCAGCAATAAACATGGGGGTACAAGTATCTTTTTCAATCAGTGTTTTTGTGTCTTTTGGGTAGATACCTAGGAGTGGGATTGCTGGGTCGTAGGGAAGCTCCATGTTTAGCAGTTTGAGGAACCTCCAAACAGTTTTCCATAGTGGTTGTACTAGTTTGCATTCCCACCAGCAGTGCAGGAGAGTTCCTTTTTCTCCACATCCTCGCCAACATTTGTTGTTGCTAGTTGTTTGAAGATGTGGAAATGGACACAGATTTAACTGGTTGTTTTGAGAAGGAATTCAGCACAAATAAAAGCTTCACCCTGAGTGTGACTCTATGCTTCAGATATAAAAAAAATTCCTTGATTAGACTACTGTTAGCCAAAGTCAGGCCGTGTCGATGCCAATTTCCATGAAAATAGCTCTAATAGGATTTTCTTTCTATAGAAACGACTGGGAGCCCCCAGATAAGAAAGTGGATACAAGGAAATACCGTGCAGAGCCCAAAAGCATTTACGAATATCAGCCGGGCAAGTCCTCCGTTCTGAGCAACGAGAAGATGGTAATGTGCTTATTCAAGTTCTTTTGTCTCCCACTCATGCTCTTTAATCCAGATGCATTGTGCACTTGGGTTAGTCTTTCTCCCTTGAGATAGGTTTGCTTTGTTTAGAAGACAATGAAAAATGAAGTATTTTTAACCCTCTTTTTTTGCAGGTGTTCATAAAATAAGTTCACTAGTCTGCTTTGAAAGAATCCTCTTACTGTGCTTTGTTGCTTTTTTTGTGCATGTTTTTTAACTGATTTTAATTTTCCTACTAATGTAAAGATTGATTTTGATGTTGTCTTTATCCAAATATTAACCATTAATTTATCAGGCTTATGACTAACTGGATTAAAATCAGTTTTTGTGAATGACTCTTATGTGAAGGTGCATCAGTTTTGGAGAAGTAACTATTGCCTCACTAACTGCTAAATAATTATGATAATTATTATTTGGAAAAACAGCCTCAGGATGTTAGAATATATTTTTTTGGAGTCTCTTTTTTGACAAGCTTAATATTGGATACTGATTTCCTATTCAGATTTCCTATTCTGACTTACGGTTCCCAACAGAAATTCATATCTCCAAGCAATTTAGGTGGAGAAAATGGCCTAGAAGGGCACAGCGGACACCCAGGGAAAGCAGCCTCTTTGTAAAATGGGAATTAATTTTTACAAACTGCCTAGTTTCATGCCTGCCAATCTGTTCCCTTTTATTCACTCCCTCATTGGAAAAGCTGGTTCAGAATTCTGCTCATGGTCAAAGGGATTCGCTCACTTACCATAAACATTGTAGCCCTCCTGCCGTGTCAGCAGGATGGAATCATCATGCTGGGGATTGGTTTCTATTAATCTGCTGTTACCACACTGAGTTCAGAATAAGCAGACCTGAAATGCAGGTTCAAATTATTTTCCCCTCACCTCTCTGCTCGGCATGTTACTAAGGGATAATTGATTTGACTTTTACTGAAATAATAATGCAAAATCTTTAAAAGCACTAAGGGATTCATTATTTTAATTAGAGAAAAAGGTCAACAGTTCACAGGAATACCTTAGCATTACCATTCTTCAGCACTTACTGTGTGTCTGTTATTTTAAGCAAAAAGTTCAAGGAGAAGCAGAGAATTTTGCCTGGTTCCCCCCTCACTGGAGATTCTCTCCAGGTGATAACCTTCCACGCAGGTGTTGCTAAGAGGAAAGTCACATTCTTGGGGTATGTTCCTGTCACTGTGTAACAAATGGGAGCACCCCATCACACAGGAGTACGTCTAGGTATGTTAGGGCACCAGGCCTTTGGGTGTTTTGTTTGTGGTATTGTTGTTCATAGACGCTCCTTGTGTTTAAAATTGCCCGTTTTCTTAGTTGCTTCCTTTTCTCCCCTCCTTTCCTTGGTTACTTGAAATCTGACCACTGTTTAGGACTAAGGAAGAAGCAATGTGACTCTGTTTCTCATTGATACCACAGTGGTTAAGTGTCTCCCATACCATAGTTGTTGGGAAGGTTTATGTGATTTTTTACAGCCCCTGAAAAGAAAGACCTCTCCCTCCCTACTGAGTCCCTTGTTGGGGGGACCATGTCCGGAGATAGCAGGCGCCGGCTGGCATTCTTCGCAGGAAGCTCCCTGTGCTGTCCTGGGCCCGAAGCCTAGCCAGTGACAGGACGCAAGGCCAAAGGGGAACTGTCCCATTATTTCACTGAGGGCCTTTCACCCACTTCAACATTGTTCTTCCAAAGAGAAAGTTTTCATTTTAAAGAGAAATTCAGTGAACTCTCTATTTTTTCCATGGTCTACTCTTCACAGTAGTTGAATTAGTCCTGTATTTTCTTTTCCTGTTATTTTTGCCACATGATCAGAAGAGTTGGAATGTGAGTTTCAGTGTGACTTTTGCCCTTTGGGATCCAGTATCTGGTTTACCAGCATTTGAGGGCTTCCCAGTGCACACACACACACATACACACTCTCTTTGTTACTGCTAACTGGAGAATGATACTAACTAGTGGCAGGTGTAGAGTCTAAAACTACTCTCAAATGTGCCCAACTCCTTTTGGAAAAAAATAAAGCAACATGTTTATTATCATCATCATTTGATAATTTACAGGAGTCATGTCCACTTAAGCGTGGCTGTATAAACAGGCGTGTCTGCTTGTGGGAAGGCCTGGCTGTAGACTAAAGGCTGCCTAGACCCATTTTCTCTGTGGACTGTCCAGATGGATGAACACTGTACTGCCTTCAGATCCCCCTGGGAAACTAACAGCCTTCAGGACCTGGTCAGCTGTTTGACAGGCTCGTATGAGAGCTTCATAACTACGTAGTCCCTCTCTTGTCAGAGTTTGAATCTATTTCCTTCTCTTTCCGACTGGGCCCTAGAGGTCTGTTGGGCCTATTTGCTCAGAATGGCCCTTTTCACACTTGGTTCCTTTCTATTCCCTCCAAAGTCCCTAACAACTTCTTCAGTTCAACTCAACAAATATACGGAGAATCACTTGTATGTGCCCAGCCCTGGCATAGATGCTGGAGTCCATGTCCCCATAGGATCACCGTAGCAAGGACAGACATTCAAGTAGTAAAGTGGACACTCTGTCTACTTGCATGTGCCAAGCAGGGGAATTTGCCCAACTTGGTTTCTTCCTGGTTCCATCACTTTGTGTTGCTTCCCGGCTTCTCAAGTTAGATCACCCCTGTTTTAGCTTTAATTCATCTGCAAAGTTAGCGTGTCTACCCTCATACAGAGGAGAAGTGGAGTGTAGGATAAGGAAATAAGCACTGGTGTAGGAATCAGAAGACCTGAGTTTGAGTAGAATTCAGACTTTGCTTATGTCTTGGAGCGAGTCATTCAATCTAGCCAAACCTCGTTGTTTAAATCAGTAAAGTAGAAGTTGTATCTGGCATGCCAAATTTGCTGAAGTATTGAGAGGATCAAGGCAATAAAGTGGGCATCAGACTTGCAAACGTTATTCAGTGCCATGCAGCTACAACACCACACGCAGGTTGTTGGATTAAAATTGGAAGCTGGTCCCTGTCTCCTGTCCAAGCAGCAGAACTTAGAGGACAACCAGGATTTTCCTGGCGAGTCACCTGTGCACCCCAAGGCCTTTGTCCAGCTGGGAAAAGAACAGCCTGCGTGGCAGGGAGTTTAGCCTGGCCCTGTGGTGCCTTCCCGCCTGCCAGCGCAGGGCCCAGCCGCCCACCCACAGGGTGTTCTCGATTTATCCCTCCCACTGCTGAACCTGCAGCTGAGTTGTGAATAGTAAAATCAAATGCAGATTGTATGCTTTGACCTTTCTCACTTTCTCTCTGGGCATCCCTTCTGGGTGAATCCTTATTGTGGTTTGAGTCTTGGCAGTGAAACAAGTGTGCAAACACCCTTTACTAAAAATGGGTTCATACTGTTAGGACTCAGTACCAAAGCAGGCAGGCAGTCTTCAGAAAAAGTTGGTACATTTTATTTTTTAAAAAATTCTAACTTATTCCCAGGGTGCAATTTATAAATAGTGTCTTACAATAATAAACATGACAGGTTTCGTGAAAACCCATTATATAAGGACCTAGGACATTCCATTGCCCACATTGTCTCTCCTGAAGAGCTGTGTCCTTGCAGATACTGCACTTCCTTTTTCTGAATAAATACAGAATTCATAATTTTATATTATTTCAGACTCCATGGAGAAGGAACACACCTTCTTCAAGACTTAAGCCCTCACTCCCCAAAGATGGAGGAGGTTTGAATCTGGGTACAAAGGACCCTCCATGTACATTTCCCTCTGTTTTCAACTCACTTAGGTTCAGTGAATTTCAGTTAGGGAAAAGTTCTGTCATATCCTCCTCTGTTTAAAGCAAAAGTATAGGGCCTCCCTGGTGGCCTTGGGGCTAAGTCTCAGCCCTACCACCGCTACAGCCTAAGTTCTATCCCTGGCCAGGGAGCTGACCCACATGGTGCAGCAGACCTCTCCTGTCTTGCCTGCTACTCTGCTCAGCATGTGTTTTAGTTCTGCTCCCCACTCTGTGTCTGGTGAATCCTCTCACCACACACCCCCCAACCCCCGACACACATGCTAGCCTACACTTCAGTTCTATGCAAAAAAGAATTTAAAAAACAAACAAAGCAAAAGTAGAAATGATGGTAAAGATTCTTCTCAGGATTTTAGAAGGGACTGGCAAATGTCACTGAGAAATTTTGCAGCCACTTCTGCCACCTGCCAGTGGCCTGTTCACTGCATGAGCCGGTGACCCTGACCTTCCGTCGACGCCCCCGGACTTGCTCTCTGCTTCCTCCTGTGTGGTAGCCGAAGGACTGAGGTTCCTCGTGGCTTGTTTTCACCCAGTGGAAAATGTATACATTTTATATTTCTCGTCAGAAAATCACCATCTCTCTCAAGACTATCAAGGGTTTTTGAAACCATATGTATATGAACTTAATTAAGCCATGAGCCACTGACACTTTCATCTGCTGTGAACATGTCTCCATCTATTAAGGGGGAAGCTTGATTTTTCTTTCCAGGCATTTGCTTTCCGACTAATTATCTCCAGCAATACATGTTATTCCACAGAGCAAAGCACCAGATCTTGATAAATATTTGATTAAATATGAAATCCCACGGAATCAAATGATCAGACTGTGAAAACTACCCCTTAGAGTTATAAAAAGTGAGAAATCTATTTTTGTAACATAATCTAGAAGTTTTTCCCCCTGTAGTTCTGTACCTGTCTTGTTCAGCTTTTCCCCAACTTTATTTTTCCCAGCTCTTCAACATTTGTTAGAACACAAAGTATACTCTGTCTGTATTCATCCCCACGGATGCTTGTTTAAAATGTTTTTTCACTTGTGTCCTCTGTTTTCCTATGTCATCTTTCACTTTACTGTGTGAGGGACATGGTTTCTCACCTACTCATGTGCCATTAAAGATGCAGTATTAACCAATTGGCTTCTATAAAGTATCCATATTTACATTTATTTTGAAAACCCTAAGGCAGCCTTGCAAATAAGTACTAAAACTGTACTAGTCCATAAAAATTGTTTGCGCTACTCACCTGGCATAGACGGCTAATTGATTGGTGTGCTCACCAAGTGATTTGCTCGTAACTAATAGTTCTTTGTAAGCAGGAAATAGGATTTTCTTTTCTCCCCCAGTGCTGACAATTATTGAGGTGTTGTGGCCACTCGATGCGTTGTGGGGGCAGCAGTGTGGTGGACTTCTCCAACTGCAGTCCCTTTGCCTGCTGCCTGAGGACTGAGAAGGACGGTTCGCTGCCCCCCACAGCTTGTTTCTGTCAGTTCCGTGCCTGGCCGTGGCTGCTGCCAGACAGGGTGCTGCTGCCCAGGGCAGCTGCTGTGTGAGCCGGCACCCGCTGCATCTCTACTGGCCTGTTCCTATGTAATCTTTGCATAATGTTATCCTTCTCTCTCTTCCATTTCCCTGTCACCAACCCCTGTAGAGTCGGGATATAAGCCCAGAAGAGATAGATTTAAAGAATGAACCTTGGTATAAATTCTTTTCGGAATTGGAGTTTGGGAAACCGGTAAGTTAATAGCCTCAGTGGTTATAGACACCTTTTTAAATAATGCTGTTGATGCATCGTTGCTGCTAAAGAATCACATCTCTGTGGAGGGAATTCAGGAAGTGGGAAGCAGTCGTGCCCATGGTCAGTAATGGGATTATCCCCACTCCAACCTGTAAGCTTTCCATTGTTTTTACTTTGCCAAGAAAAGAGCGTGAGCTATGAAGGTATTTGTTGCCAGAAAAGTCTATAGAGAGACACGACTAAATCATCACTTAGTAGCTCCAAACCACTAGCAATAAATACCCCCAGCCTGTCCATGGCCTTATTTCAGCTGTTGGTCCAGTTTCTTGATCGACAAGCCGGGAAACTTGTCACACACAACGGATGGGTATTGTCACTGTGATAAGCAGCGTTTTGAAAAAGCACACGAGTAAGGGAAAGGCCCAGGTAGGCCAGGGGTCTCTCTGCAGATATGATCCACGAATACAACCCCACTGTGTAGGGAAAGTGTTCTCTGAGTTAGGGCACTATTTCCTAAATTTTGATAGGGGAGTTAAGAACGCTAGCAACTTTTGTGTTCAACCATTCTGAAGTTCCCCTATGATGTGCCTGACTTGGTTTTGGTACAAACTGATTTTTAGCTCTTCAAAGAGAATTCTTTTAGCCCTGCACCCAAAGGGACCCAAAACATAAGGGAGGTTTGAGCTTGTTTTCCCACTGGAGAGGACAGGAAACTGACTTTTAAACTCCATTTACTTTAAACTCTAGATTGTTACAACTGCAATGAGAATTAAGTAAGATTCTATTAGTTGCTTGTGTGAGACGTTAAGCACTGAAAACCCTAAGGCAGCCTTGCAAATAAGTACTGTGTTTGGGGTGATAGTTATATTCGCAGTCATTAACTTATTATTACTTCAGTAAAATGTTAAATTCCATGATGTGTGTTTTTCATTAAGACCAGAACAAAGAAAAATTAAGCGGGTGCTCTAGAATTTGTATTTCGACTTATCAGTGCTGAGCATTGTTTGAGAATTCAGGCATCTTCTGAGTTAGCAGCACCTGACTTTGGAGCAGCCTGCTTACTAGAAGCAGGTGTTCCGCACACCGGTCTCCTCATAGCTGCCAAGGGTTCCTGGGTGAACGGCGCCACCTAGTGACCAGTGAGAGTAGCGTCTGCCCTAGGCCTGCCACTGTCCTTCCAAAGCTTTAGCCCACCTGCACTTTTTCTCTCCCCTTTCTTCTCGGCTGTTTACCATTCAGATATTGGCAAGTATTTCCCAGTTTCCTAACCTTTTTCCTTTGTTTCTAAAAGCTTGTTCAGTTATCTTACGGAAAAAATTTGATATGTGTAGTTTCCTCCCCATGCAGGATCGGTATATGTAATAATACTAATGCCGTGGTTTCATCAAGGAAAGCTAAAACTTGAACTCTAAATTATGTGTCATAGAGTCTCTGTGACTGGTTTTTGAAATCTCCTACAGAATCCACAGTTTTCTAATCATGTCTTCATTTGCCAAGTAGTAAATTAGTTTTATCTAAAAAAAATTAGCTTTTAAAGTTATGAAGCATTTTTTCTAATTGTGATGGGCTTGTTTCACTAAATAGATTATTAGAAAGAAAATCATTTTTGTTAGCAATAGATAGTATTCCAGTCCCTGCATACATTAATCCATACGTTACATGGTGAGCTTGGCTAATTAACCCAATTTCAACTGGAAATGGTGGCCTAGGTACCTGTCCCAACTGATGTTGAGAATCCAGTCTATTTGGAAATTGGGACCTTCCCCTCATTTGTATTCTGGTCCTACTGCTCTAATTGCCGCTTAATTTTTTAAAGACCTCTTTTCTACATGGAACCCATGTGTTTCTTACAGAGACCCAAGAGTCCTCCTTAAATAAGACTTCTCTTTGTGAGCCCCTCTAATGTGACCAGAGATAACACTCGTGAAAAGACGTCCAAATTATTTGATCAGTGTCCGCACTCTAACAGTTCTAAGACAAACTGTTCTAATGGATCGAGCCGGGCTGCTTGGGATCAAGCTGAACCAAGCAGAGGAGCGGGTGTGACTCGGACTCCCAGGGGGAAATTTCTTCACTTCTGCCCAACCCCATCATTCTGGATCCCATAACAGACATAAATAAAAGCGGTATGAGCCATGGGCATTGTTTTGGAACATTTTTCAGTCATTTAGAAGCAGAATGAAGGTAAAGGTCTTCCCACATCAATGGATCATCGCCTCTGCTTTCCCTCCACACCACTTCAGGATCCACTTCCCCTGAGTAAAGTCTTCTAGACTTTTATCCTGAACACCTTTCTTCCTCCACCCTTGCTATTTTAGCAAGATACTATGCTTAATTGCCTTTAGCTCTAGCAGGTGGTTGTAGAATAGCAAGTAATTCAAGGCTCCAAGGACCTTTTTTAAGGGAGGATTATTTACAACCAATACAATTTTTATAAGTATTGTCCTACTTTTTTGTGGGAAAATAAGAAAATGAGTAGGAGTACCTTAAGTGATTTTTTGAAGTCTGCTTCTCCAGGCAAATAATCTAAATGTATTAAGTGCATAAAGAAAAACAATTGTTAGCACTTTGCAAGTCCACACATACAGAGAGCACCTCTCTGACCTGGGTCTAGCAGTGGGGAAGCCCTTTGGTGTAGCTCTTTCTCTCTCCCTCTGCCTCTCACTGCTACAGAAATTGATGTGATTTCTCTAAGTAAACTCAAGCAGTATGTCACAATGCACACCAGCTTGAGTGCATCCATCAAATTAGTTATAATGAAATTTGCACAGAATTGGAGCTATTAATGATCTCATCTCCTCAGAGTTTACTATGTAAGAAATATCAAGTCTAAATAGGTAAAACAATGAAGGGCCACTCAGGAAAAATAAAATAAAATAAAACTTAGGTGAGCTAGGAAATGAAATATCAGGAGGAAATGCCATTAATTCAATAATAATTTTTTTAAGCCAGAAGGTCCACTCTAGAGAGTCCAGAGTTAGGTTAGAAGTGGCTGACTGTCCTATGCTCTGAAATACCCACCCCCATTAAGCTTACAGTGCTTCTTCCTGGCAGCTGTAATTTGCAACATGGAGTTAGAGGAGAGAAAAATAATGCCTTTATACCTACTGTTTAAATTCAAAGTATAAACGCTCCTTCCTAAGGGAAAAAATATGTACATATGTATGTATGTGTATATACATATATATATATATATATGTTCTACTACTAGCAGTATTATCGAAGTCAAATTATTAACTGTTAAAAGGAGACTATAAGAATTACCTAGTGGAATTGCTATGTAGGGCAGTATTTAATCATGGAGTTCATTGCCACAAACAACAGAATGCACATTTAGATCAGAATCACACATTTATTAACACAGAATGAATTTTACAGGGGGGAAACTCTGCTTCAAAAATGTAGCATCTGCAGGGTCAATCTTAGTTTGAAAAGAGCATTAAAGAATTTGAAAATTTTGTATTTTTGTCCTAGTTGATGTTAATGCTTTTTTTCCTTATGTTTTTTCTTTTTTTTTTTTTTAGTTTTCAGTATTTAGACTCCAGTGATAGTTTTACCCTTGAGACATAGAAACTAACTTCCCCATTAATGTGTCCAGTCCCCAAATTCGGGGGTTCTCCCGGCAGCCGGTGTCCCTAGGTGGCCTCCTTGGAAGGCGGAGCCCTGGCCTAGCTTTGAGTTCCCCTCTCTGTGTCAAGACAGTTCTCCTAGTGTGCCCCTCTTTGTTTGAGTCAGTCCCCATGTTTGTCTTATGTCTTTATGCTCATTTCTTCATTTCCTCCTCTGCTTCCCGTCAGCCTCCCAAAAAGATATGGGATTATACTCCTGGAGACTGCTCTATCCTTCCTAGAGAGGATAGAAAGGTAATTCGCCGCGCGGCCTCCGGGCCTGTGTGTGTGTGCGCCTAGAGCCTGGTTAGTGCGAGTGTGTCGTGGGCTTTTTTCCTTTTATTTTCTTAAATCACTTTTTTAACTTGGTACCTTTGTTTTCTTTGGCTTGGTGATAAAACTATATTACAGATCTAAGGCTGATACTAATGTTCAGAGGTTTTTAAAGCAACTGTTTATTCTTCTGACGTAGTATTTGTCACAGTCACTATTTTCTGAAATGAGCGAAAAGTAGGGATTTCCTGAAAGGTAGGTTTGGTGTCTGTAGTTCTCTTTAGCAAGTAGAATAGAGTTTGGAGCTCTGGTTTCCTCAGGATTATATTTTCTATGCCTAATGTCGCCTTCTGTTTTCTTGTCCTTAACTGATTTCCAGTGAGCTCTTGTGTTTTAGTCATGCCATCTCTGCCTTAGTAAAATTTAACACTGAAAGAGTCGTGTTTCAAACTTAGCCTTCCATTCCTTCTGCCTTTCCTCGAAACTAAAACATTCTTTCCCATCTTTTCTTTCTTCAACCAGACTAATCTAGACAAAGATCTCAACCTCTACCAAACAGAGTTAGAGGCAGATTTAGGAAAAATGGAGACGCTTAATAAAGCACCCAGTGCAGACCTGTCACAGGTATTTCCCGGTTTTTCTCACGCCATCGGTTTCTTTTCCAGCTGTTTGTCTTCTTCTTTGTTCTGTGGTTTTCCATGTAGCCGAGGCAATGAACGGTTATGCTGGCTACTCAAGCTGCATGGTCACCTTGCTCTCCCCACCACTTCATTATTTTCGCTTGGATTTCGAGCTTGGCATCTTCCCGTGGGAGGTTTCAAACACGTATGGGGTGGCCGGTGATTTAAACTCATCCCCTGCCCTCTTTCTCTCTTCCTTTGTTTTCAGGGGTGATTCCTTTTAAGTTGCCTTCCTTTGCCTCTGTGCACCTTCTCTGAATTTTCAGAGAGCCCTTTCTGGGGCAATTTCCTTGTTACTTTCGCAGCCCTGGGAGATACCAACCTCAGAGATCATTTTCAAAGCGCAGCAGTGCTGTGGACATACCTGGCACTATCCGAGTCATAGTATTTGTAATTTGAAAGGTCAGAAAGTTCTCAATGAGAAAAAAAAAAAAAAATGCACTCCAGAGGCCAGGTGACCTGGCCTCCGCATTGGAAACTTAACCTGTGCTGCTGTTTGTGAAGGGCGCTCTATCCGTGTGGCTCTGTAAGGCTCTATCCGAAAGAGAAAGGCAGTCCAAGATAAATCAGCTCCTAAGGGGGAAAAACAAATGTTTAGAGAACTGCTTCCTAGGGCTCCTGGCAAAACAGACGAGGTACCTCTAAGGAAATGGTATTTTTATAGAAAATAAAAAGGAATATAGACGTTGCTACAGAGGCCAGGAAGATCCACCGACTGGCAGGAAAGTGGAAAATATTAATCATGTGGTTTTGAAGCAGAACCAAGACAAGGAGGGTCAGTCACCGCCTGAGTGACTTGGGCACAAAATCATGTAGGTGCTAGAGGGTCAAACCAGGGCCTGGGAGGACTCGTGGGAGAGCCAGACTCCAGCAAGCTGCGAGCAGATGGCGGGGAGGGAGCCGTGGCGTCAGGGGTGAGCAGTGAGGCCAGGCTCCAGTCAGAAGTGGGAAGGAAGCACAGGAAGATCGTGGGGGCACCCATCAAGGCAGACAGGTGATGGGGGGTGGGCACCAGGTCCGAGCGTGACACAGCTGTACCGCGTGGGCCCGGAGGGCTGAGCTAGCCCTAGAGTGCGAGGAGGGCTGCGGGCAAGGCCTGAGGGAAGCTCAGGGGCAGGGACGCTGGCATTGGAGATGAGCCAGAAAGTGAGTGGGAAGGGCGCTGTTCAAGCTGCTCACACAGGGTGGTTCTGGAGGGCAGCTAGCGACGACTGAATTAACGCCAAAGCTCCCAGGCCAGACTGCTTCCAGCGCCGCAGGCTTAAGGAAGTATCTGATGCCACGAATCTTCACGTTGCCCTGTACCCTCTGCCCATCAGTCCCTAGGGTGTCTTACAGGTGCCGAGGGAGATTCTAAGTGGACTTTGCCATCATGACAGTGCAGTCACACATAACTAAAGCACCAGCTGGGCCTGCGAAGAGCTAAATGATACGTGCTAATGGTGTGTTAAATGCTAATGCACTCTGCTTGAGCCAGCAGAGACAAATCTTGTGGAAAATCAGGGAAAGCTGCTCACAGGTGGAACTGAGACCTCACAGGACAGGTGCAGCCTAGGTAGGAGGCATCTGTTTGGGCATGAAGAGCCACGAGTGAGTGCACTGAGGATGCGCTGAGGGATAAAGGAGACAAGCTCGGCTGCTACAGACAATCTGGGGTGGGGGTGGGGTTAGGGTAAGGTAGACCTGCGGCTCTCAGTGTATGACTCGGGACGGTTTTGCTCTCAAACCAACACTGTAGCTAGGAAGAGCAGTGCCATGGCTGAAGTGAAGGGAGCATCTCCCGCTGCAGGGCGCAGGCTGGTCTGGACGCCCCGTGTGGAGGCTGAGCCCAGCTCAGGTGGCACCAGCATGGGGGCTGCGGGGAGTGCCAGGGGCTCACAGGAAATCACAGTGGGGTGTTTGGTTAATTGGCATAAAGAACAAAAACATTGAGGGGGGGGCCTCCCTGGTGGCACAGTGGGTTAAAGCACAGCGCTACGAAGCTGGCGCAGCCACCACAGCACAAGTTTGACCCCTGGCCCTGGAGGTGACCCATATGGTATGGCAGACCACTCCTGACCTGCCCGCTGCTCCCCTCAGCAGTGTATTTCAGTACATCTGCCTGTCCTGCTCCCCACTCTGTCTCTGGTGGACCCTCTCACCTCCCTGTGTACCTCTGGCCTGCACCCCAGTTCCGTATGCATTAATAAATAAATCTTAAAAATTGAGGGGTACCTCTGGGGTTTGGTCAGGCAGCTAAAAGAATAGGGGCTTCATCTGTCACCTAAGAAGGATGGGGAGAAAATCGATGCAGAGGTAAGCTGGGATTCACTTTAGGTCATTTCCTTTTGAGGTGCTGGGTATCAAATAGGGAGTAGCCAACAGCCTTAGAAACCTAAGCCTCGAGCTCTTAAGAGAGGGGGCTACAGTGTCTGTTGGAGCTCCCTGAGGAGCAGAGTGGAAGCCCTAGGGGTATATGAGAGTGAAGGGAGATCCTGTAGAGCAAAAGGGAGGGGAGATCAACAGCCACCTCTGGGGATGTGAGGTGACACTGAACAGGAAAGGGGTGTCAGCAAGAACAGTGCAGGGAGGTAGGAGGCAGTGTGAGAGTTGGAGGGAGAAAGACTGAAAATTACCTGCAGAGAAACCCCCAGAAATAAACTCTAAGGCCAAATCAGTGGATTTGGTAATAGCATCTAAAAATGTTAGTGAGGAGTAGGGTGGGAGCTGGAGTGTGGGAAGGAGAATCAGGACCCCTGCGTGGTTGTGGAAGGCAGGAAGTGGGTGTTCCCAGCAAACTCATTAAGGTCCAGCAAAGCGGGGGCTCAGGCCATCATCTTCAAACAGGAGCCAAGAGTTAGGGACTCAGCAAGGAGAGCAAGAAGGGAGACCCGCAGGGCAGTGGGGTGTGAGGATGAGGAGGGTGAGTGCTGAGGTGGAACATGCCAGAGGAGTAAAGGGACCTGGACAGAGGCCCAAGGAAACCAGAGGAGACAGCAGGTTGAGGGTGGGTGGTTCAGCAGGGAGCGTGCTGGTAGCTGAGCCCCAAATAATGGCCGCCCCCCCATTTCCTCCCCCCCTCTTTCACCATCTCTTCCTTTTCTTTCTCCAGTATTTTATTCCTCCTTCCCCTCCAGGTAGCTCTTCTCCACTTAGCTTGTTTTCCTTGAAGGGGTTGTTATTAGAGATAGGAGTGTCTCAAAGGTTAACTCTTCCATTGGCCTGTTCAACTGCCACATCACTTTTCAAACAAATACATTGAACACTTTGTGTCTTTATCTCCAAAACAACAGAAACCCCCAACTGCATAATTAGGTTGCTTTCCCTTGGCCTGTGGCTCTGGGTCCATTATTTTTCTTCCTGTCATTTTGCAAGATGTTTCCCCACTCAGACTGAAATGATCAATAATGGGTGTGTGAAACTGAATTTCTTCCCATTTCCATACTTTTAAAACTGCAAGGATAAACAAATGATCTAAACAGAGAACGTCTTTTAAAGTGCATTTTTGACATCTGTTCCTATAAGTGTTGGGTGACCCTTTCTCTGGATGTGGCTTCTGGGGTGCATGCAGGAGTCTGTGGTGGGCTTAGCAGGGGGGCTTGTGGGCTGGGGTGTGCTCTCCTGGTTTCTAATGCATGTCGTCAAACAGGCCCAACCTTTGGGGAGGTGCCCAGGTGGAAGATCCCTCCCTAAAGCCAGGAAGCCACCCCTTGACCACGACCCCACCCCCACCCCCACCCCAAGTGGCTGCAGCCACTGGAAGTCGAAAGACCAGAGAGGGTGAGAGCCCCCCTGCTCAGCCACCCTCCTCCCAAAGACAGAGCCCTGCTCGCCAGCTGCCCGCCTCCCAGACCTACCTAAATTAGGAACGGAGAGGGAAGTCTTTCCTTTCCCTTGGGCTTGAAACATCTAAGTCAAAATAAATCATTTACACTCTTGTTTTTTTTCTTGACATTTACAGAGCTCCGCTGTCAGCCCCGCTCCAGAAATTTCTTCAGAGCCTCCTGGATAGTAAGTTGTCACTGTTTACGTGGCTTAATTTATTAAATGTCAGAAATGGGAAGAGGCTTGTGATTTGGGCCCAAGTGTGTTTTATTTGTAGCAGTCTAATAGCTTTAAATGATGTGCGAAGTAGCAATTTAATTATAGTCTTCAAATGATTTTCTTTTTTACCTCCTCAAATTATTTTGTGATGATTCATATTCCTTTCGATAATTTTTTGACTGTGTTGGCATCTTTGCATTTAGAATGTGAGGTTTTCTGTCTGCACTTAGAATTTCTACCCCGTTCCCTGATTCCTGGGGAAGAAGGGGAAATGGCTGAGATAGCGCCTCTTGTACGAAAGGGAACAGTGTGAGGAGGGGCCCCTGGGCTGAATCTGTCGGTGAAGATGGGGCTGGGAGAGGCCGAACTTGTCTGATTCTCAGAGATGTGGGTTAATTTCCCCACATCATGTGGGACAGTGCCCACCCACTTCTTGGGGTACTCTCACTTCTTGGGGTAATCCCAGTCTCCCCATCCCCCAGACCATCCCCTGCCAGGTTAACTTTTCTCAGTATTTGCTCACTTAGCTATTATCGCAGCTAAAAAGTTGCCCCCCCCTTCGTTCACCCCCCACATGGTAAAAAGTGAGCATCTCTCATGAATACATGGACCCGGGCCTGCCATGCCCAGTCTCCTGGGAGTGTCTCTGGCTGTGTAGCCCCGATTGTCTTCTTGTGCTCTTATTGCTGTCTTAAGGCTGCTAATAAACTACTGTCCTTGAGGGCAATGATTACATCTCTGTAGGGCATCTACATGGGCACCAGTATAGGTTGGGGCCTTGTTCTGGCAGGAGCCTCTCGTTATCACCATATCTGCATCGCCTATGATGGGACAAGGAAGAAAGGCACAGTTAGTACTGTTCCTTTAGGGTTGAGTAAACCCACAGTGCACAAAGTTCACTGGTTCAAATAAAAGCCTAACTCAGTCTGAATGTTCATTTTTAGGCAGATATTCATTTTCAGGCATGTCCTACCTACCTTGCCAAAGAAAAGAGTGGTTTTATTTGAAAGTCCCAAATCAACTGGGATTTGAGTATTTTAGAAGGTGGTGACCAAATCTCTAATTAGATGTAATCTGTTAGTTTTTTTAATATGTATTAATATACCCCAGAACATAAGGAAAAATCACTCAAGATAATGCTAGAGGACAGATCCCTCTTGGAGAAGGCCAAGTATAAAATCTCCCGCATGTACTTGGGCTGTGATTAGCCACCAACAGGACAGAGGCCTCCAGACTCACTCCTGGACTCCGTCAGGATCCTTCCTTTTTCTTCCTCCAAGCCAGACTCTGAGGCTCACTGTTTGTAAAGAGCTAGTTGAGGCCCTCCCTGGTGGCATAGGGGTTAAAGACACAACACTATCAAGCAATCACCAGCCACTGCAGCATGAGTTCGATCCCAACCAGGGAGCTGAGCCACATGGCACAGCAGACCTCTCCTGTCCCGCCCACTGTTCCCCTCAGCAGTGTACTTCGGTAGGTCTGCGTGTTCTGCTCCCCACTGTCTCTGGGGAATCCTCTCAGCTGGGCCTCTACCCCAGTTCTTGTATGCATAAATAAATAGTTGTTTTTTTGTTTTTTGGTTTTTTTTTCTTTTTCTAAAAAGCTAGTTGAACTGACTTCAGCTCTAAGGATTGAAAAGAAAAAGGACGGACACCATGAGTCTGTTCACCAGGAAAAGTCCCTGTCTTTATTTTCAGCATCAAGCTTATATATATATATATATGAAAAAAGGGGATTACTGTAACAAAGGGGACTACCGTGGCCTGCGCCCATTGGCCAGGCCCCGGCTAGGCGGGTGGGAAGTATCAAAAATTATTTACAAAAGAACCTGTAAGCTGGGGTTTTTGGGTCTGTGCTCATGTACGGGGATGGAGACAGCCAGACCCTAGTCAAGGTCACGGGCGCCTCCTTATCAGCCTGAGGCCCAGAATTGCTAACTAAGCTAAACCTCTTTCCTTTATTACCCCCTCTTGTTTATAGATGGAGGGTGTGGTTCTGTCTGGCTGCTTCGTGCTGAACAGGGGCGTTGTTTGGGGATGAGAGGGAGTGAATGAGGCAGCGAGTAAAGGCTAAAACTTGGTAGAGAGATGGGCCGGGTGTAGGTAACAAGGAGTAAAAAAATCGAGAACAAAGTTCTAGTTGGGAAGGAGAAAGGTCTAGAAAAGCGCCTTATAACCAAAGGTCGAGGATTGTGTCATCCCACTGCTGAGGGGTCACCGGCAGGGGATCCAGCAGCAGCCACTCGTCCTCCAGAATGCCATTAGGGAAGATGACGAAGTCCGTCATAGGCGGGATTGTTGACATGTTGGGTCTGAACAGGTTGATACTGGTGATATTGCCTGAAAAAGAGAGCTTGATGAAAACTGTTAGTGGTGGCCTGCCTTATCAGTCGGCGAGTAACAGTAATGATGTGGCTAATAATACAAAGTCCAATGGTAATTATGAGTAGAAGGAGTAGGAGGGGACCAACAAGGGCAGATATCAGAGTAGTCAGCCAGGGAGAACTATTGAAAAAAGAAGCAAACCAATTAGTGCTTGAGTCTCGTTCTCGTTTGCGCCGCTCGCAGTCCTCACGGAGTTTTGCCATGTTGTCACGGACTATGCCAGTGTGATCTGCATAAAAGCAGCACTCCTCTCCCAAAGCCGCGCAAAGGCCCCCGTTTTTGAGAAATGAAAGGTCGAGGCCTCGGCGGTTTTGTAAAACAACTTCGGACAACGAGGTGAGAGATGACTCTAATGCACTAATAGACTTTTCAATACGAGCTAAATCTGCATTTACGGTAGCCTGAAGTAAAGCGAGATCTGAATGGTGTGTGGCCAGAGATGCAATACCGGTGGTAGCCCTTGCCACCCCAAGGGTAAAGAGGGGAGCCAGAGTTAGTGCTGTGATGGGCTCACGTATATGTAGACGGAAAGCCAGGGGGCCAAGAGAGGGTGTTCCATCCATGTCATGTGAAAAGTCCAGATCGCTATGATAAAGAATGTGTGGCAGGATGGTGACTATAAGGCAGTATTCATCGGCAGGTTTGAATATAGCGCCGTAAAGAAAAGCTGTCAAACCCTGCTGTGAACAGAGCCACCAGAAAGCGCTGGAATTGCCTGGCGATAACCACTGACTTGTATTGGGGGGCGCGACACGCGAGGAACAGAAGAGAGTTTGGTTTGTGGCTCCCACATAGGTGCCTTTTCCCACTACCCGAGTGAAGGTTAGAGTCGCGGGTGTCTGTGGCCATGTTGTTGTGGGTACCGCAGACGAGTAGTAAACAGAAGCATTAATTGCTACAGCTTCATAAAAAGGAGGCCTAGGATCATAGCAGAACCAACAGGAAGAAGTTAGGTTTGGGGAAATGTTGTTAAGTGCCAAGAAGGCTGCCTGAACCATATGAACAAGGGGATCGAGGAAAGGGGACTGTGTAGGTGCGTTAGGCAGGATCCTATAAGGTGTATTAGGCAGAGTCATATCACGAGAGGGAAGAGAAGTGGAAAATGAAGGGGTCACAGCAGAAATAGATTGAACTGCCGGTGGGGTAGAGCGTGCTACAGGGAAGGAATCAGGGAGTGCAGGACCGGATTGGGTCCTATGGATATCGGGATCTGTTGGACATGTAGTCGGATGGTAAAGAGCAAGCCCACATCGTGCTGTTCCTTGTGAAGTCTAAGGCCCCAAGTACGGCCCCTAATCCAGTCCTGAAGGTGTTCGAGTTTTTTTCCTGCTGGTGTAAAGGAAATGTTTAGGATATTACAGTATTGTGTAGAACCGCAGGTGGTAGAACCGACTTTATTCCTGAAGCATGTACCATAGTCACCCTGAATTGGGCTTTTTCGTTTTACGGTGATCCAATCCCATGAAGAACTGGGATTCCAGTAGCCATCACCAGTAGTCTCACACCCCCATGCCTTACAGTAATAAGACTCAGGGCCGCCGCAGCGTGTCACCTCTGTCCTTGATCGGCCATCTTTTGGGCATACATAAATGGACTGCCTGCTAAGTAGACAATGCCTCTGATTATCCCTGCAGCCTATAAAGGCCCCTAAAGTGGATTGAGGGAAATCGTCCAGATTAGGTTTTTTCCAAGGTATCTGCTGTGGTTCATACTCGAAAATGTCCCATGTGTCTAGACAAGCGGCCAGCATGCAAAGATCGGGATGTAAGTCGGGGTACCAGGCCCCCAGGGTGTCTGACTTGCTGGTGGAGCTCCAGGCCACCTGACCAGTGACAGTATTGACAATCTGCCAGGTCAGCTTTTGTGGGTTGATGGCGTAAGTGGGTATGACCAGGAAACTCAAAAATGTGTATTGGAGGCTGAAGCCTCGGAACTGCGAGGGGAACATCTGGTTATGGTAACCTTCAGGGGGTCAAAAGGACTGGAAATTGCCCGGAAATGATGAGAGGAGGCCGGGGCCAGTTTAAGTCTAGAGATATGGATCCACGGAGTGGTGTGGTGTGGGAGTGCAGAGGATGACCGGGAAGGGCCCTTGCCAAACTGGAGCATGGGGTGGTTTGTCCTTGTCGGCCGGAGGTTCCCTGTAAAACACAAGTTGGCCTGGATGGAGTGAGGTTACGCCGGGAGAGTTGGAGGGATCTGGTAAAAGCCAATCTTGGTACTTCCAAAGTTCATTGCGGACATGGGAAAGAAGTGGGATAGCGGCATCTGAGGGAAGACAGGAACGCATTTGGATACCTGGCGGGATTAGAGTTCGAAAGGAGAAAGAGAGGTAGGCTTTTTAGGCATGGCCCTCAGGCGGAGTAAGGCAAGAGGCAACAAGCGAACCCAGTCGAGGTGCAGCTAAAAGGAAAGCTTGGTGAGAGTCTCTTTAATGCACCTGTTGGCCCTTTCCACCTTACCCAAAGCCTGAGGTCAGTATGGACAGTGAAAATGCCAGGGTACCGGCAAAGAGGCAGATAGAGAGCGGGTAATCTGGGACGTGAACTCAGGGCCATTGACAGACTGTAATGAAGTGGGAAT